CTGGCTGATTAAAGTCATGCAAAAGCACAGAGGGCAGGAGTGAGATTAGTTGCAGAACGCATCTGGTCACTGTAATTGTACAGGGAGCAGACAAGGGGAATATTTCTGGCTGCTAATTTCAAAGACGAGACACATTCTAGCAGCACTGTAAAAACCCATTTGGCCAGTATCCAGCTTCAGTTACACTGATACTTTCTCATGAACTGTGCAGCTGAACTAAGACACAACTTACATCTGCGCTGTACATACCTCCTGCTTCTGCTTTCACTGTGCCCTTGATATAATTTGCTCCAAAGACAGGCTGCTTAATTTCACAATCTTTCAGCAAATAAAAGGGCATCACAAAAGACTGCATAGCATCCTTTCCCTTCGACACAAAGATAATCTAAAAAGAAAACATTACAAAGGGTATGTAAAACAAACAGGAAACACAGGCCTGATTCATTATGCGAAGTGACTTTTTGCTGGACTGAAACTCCCTCCTACATCTATAGTTGTGCAAACCAAAAGCTACACAGAACAGTCACAAGGGTAAACTGCAGCCTCCAGAAATAAAGCATTCCAGGAAGGCTACACTTGCTTAGATAATACTCTTCCCAGCTTCCAGAGAACTTTCTGCTGCACACAGCTATGATCTAGTAGCTGCACTCTTGTATTCAGCATTTCCAGACCACTGCTAATTTCCAATCTCAAAGACGCCTGATGGACTAAACACCTGCCTTTATAAGAATTAACCAGATTTATTACCTTTTGACAAATAGATAGGCTGTACAATGAATTCATAATGCTCCCCAGGGGGAGAGGATGAGCCATAATTCAAGGGGTAGTAGACTATCCTGACTTTCACGCACCGAGGACATTTAAATACAGAATTGCAAAGAGCCCCTATCTCCTTACACAAGACAAAGTCTTTTACTACTTACTCGGTAGGGAGTCAAGAAAACACTCCCTTTCTTGGTCCCTTTGAACACATCTGGCATAGGTTCAATATCACTGAAGGTAATTTCTACATGATCATAGGTCATCAAAACACTACAAACAAGATGAGAGAAGCAACACAGTGTTAACAGTGTTATAGCTCAAGTCAGAAGTACAACACGCGTGTAGGTGTTTACTGACCTACCAAAACTGCCTTTAACCTCAGCCTAGTGCTCAGCAGACAAAAATCAGAAATCACTCTGGCTTGCATTTTCTTGGTGTTTGTTTTTTGGCAGTAGCAACTTATGCAGTACCTGCTGCTTGTTCTCAGCCTTGTGCTCCCTCCTCAGTGTGCTGGCACAGCTACCATTGTCTGCATAACCAGGCAGTGAACCCAAATAACTGAACTGATCAAAATCTCAAGGCATATATATAATTTTAAGTTGCACTGCATTTCTGCTGGATCAGTTCTCTAATTTGGTTCACCACAAGTAACACAACAGAGGAAGGACTGTTGAAGCAGGAACTGCTTGGGATGCCTTGCGAAACACAGCTATCAAAGGTCTAACCACAGCTTAAGCATCTCTGTCACAGAAACAGGATGGAAAGGAACTCCCCCTTTACGCCACTAGCCTTTATTAACCCATGCTGTCTGCACTGACTCCTTCATTCTCAGTTCAAAACTGACCTAATTAAAACCAGTGCAATACCCTTGCACAGATACAGCTGGTAATTTGTATTACGTAACAGCATCCACATTAGGGACTCTAATCCCTAAAGGCAGAGAAACCTCCACCACCTTTTCCTTTGGCAGCTTACGTGCTACCATCCTCAGTCACTTGCCCTTTCCTTCTGCCAGCCAGTAGCTGTCCTTCCAGCAAAAGCTCTGGAAAGGCACAGGGGCCAGCAGCATTGCTTGGGCTACAGCACATCAGCTGAATCAACCACCACAAGCAGCATAGGCTGCCACATGAGAGGTAACCCTGATCCAAGGCAGGCTGACAACTCGGAACAGTAATACACAGTTGTTTGTTTTAGTGAATGCAAATTTAAGCCCCAGAGTTGATCTTGCTAAATTCTTCAAGGAACGGTCACATCCCGAACTGAAGTCAGGCACAGAATTCCTGTACCAATGTTTAAGTGGCCCTATGGAAAGCCACCCTGAAAACTGAAGTACTCCCTTGCCTAAGAAGCAGGTGACTGCCACGTCAGAAACAGAGCACGCCGGCAGACACAAACGGTGAGGGCAGCCAGGCAGACAAAGGCAGCTCTGTGGAGGCTTTCTGTTTCCATGGTTATATCCTAGTGCCTTTCCCCAACAGTGCTGCTCCTTCCTGCACACACGGAGGGGGCGTGTGTGCAAAGAAACCCAAGCGGGCAGCTCTTGAACAGCGGCACACTGCGTCGAGACAGGAGAAGACTGGGCCCTAGCCGGAATCACCTGGCTGGGGGGATGAGCTCTGCCAGCCCTTTCCGAGCACTCAGAGAGAGGCTGGGACAATAGGAGGAGGCAGGAGGAGGCATCAGCAGCAGGCAGGCCGCAGAGGGGAGCAGTCTAAGTGGGAAAAGCCCACGACAGAAGCCCAGCAGAGTCTCCGCCAGGGAGTCCCAGGGGCAAGGAGATATGTACAGCCCCTACGCTCGCAAGGAGAAGAAGGAAGGACGACCCACGCCGGCACCGAGAGGGTTAAACCAACCCCTTCCTTATATCCCCCCCATCCCCCTCCTCTCCCCACACAACCGCGCCTCCTGAAGAGAGTAAGCAGCACCCTGCTATCCCCCGGCCGGAGGCGGGGAGCAGGGGATGGCACCTCACTTCTCGCTGTTGTTAACGATGACGCCACCGCCCTCCGAGTGGTTCCTGTTCAGCGCCATGTCCTCCTCTTCCTCCTCCCCCGGCGAGCAGCTCGCTCTGCACCCGCGCCGAACGTGGCGGGTGGGCCGGCCGGGCCGGGCCGCGCGATGCATGCTGGGAGCTGTAGTCCGGTGGCGGCCGCCACGGCGGTGTACGTTGCCGCTCTGCTGGTGCCCCAGCACTGCCCGCTCTCGGCCCAGAGCCCGGCGCAGCAAGGGAAGCACCTCCCTCCCCAGCCTGGCCGCCCCTGAGGGCACCCGCAGCCTTCGGACCCTTCTCCCGCCACGATTTATGATCAATATTAATTTACCGAGCGCAACCCAGTTTAGGTTTTAAACTAGCTCAGTTTTCTAATACAGAAGAGGAGGGGTGATCCAAAGAGCCAGTCTCCCTTTTGGAAGAGCTCTCTAACATGTTTACAAACTCCATTAATCATTGAGTATGTGTCCTGCTGACCGTATATAACAAAGTGGTTTCAGTCACTTGGAACTCCCTGAACTTGGAAGCTCGCACTTTTCCTGGGATTTCTGCCCTCCAGGTGCTCTGGCACAGCAGCGCTTTGCGGATGGGAGTTCGCAGAGCATCCCGACAGTGATCACACTGACATTTTGTTTTAAAACGCTGTCTTTTGCTGCTGTTTGCACCTCATTTTTTATCCTGAACACATTTCCTGGCCAGCTCACCAGAGAATAAAACCTTTTCCCTAGGAGGCTGTCCGTTTTTGTTTGTAGGAAGGAGCTGTTCACACATCTCATGCAACCACAAGTGATTTTAACACTCTTTGGCAGGATCTCCCAGGGAAAAGCCCCAAATTAAGTGAAGCGGAGACAAAAATGGACTTCCAGAACTTGGCTGGGCAGAATCCAAACGTTTGGTAGAGTAGAATAAAAATCATCCCACATACTTGGTGGTACTGCACATAAAATGAAGCTTAGCCCCTTAAACAGCAAAGATGTTTGCTCTGTTTTCAACCATTTTTTAATTCACTTTTGACCCACAATTAATGTTTCACACACTTGCAAACGTATTTTTGGACCAATGTTGGCTGCTTTCCATGCTGGAATCAATCACATCCTAAAATTGCCCCTTTATATTGGAAAGTATTGAACTGGAAGGGCTAATCAGTTGCCCTGTGAACAAGTCAGGACTGTGTCTGTCTGGAGGGAATCTGGGAGCAGGAAAATCTCTGTGAAAATTTCTTTGCAGAGTTACAGTGAGGGTCTAATCTCCTGCCTTCAGGTGCACAAGCAGGAGGAGCTCTTAAAAAATTAATGTTTGCATGATTTCATTAAAAATAGGAGCCCTGCAAAACCAATCAACAGTTTTGAAGGGCTTCTCATAGCAATAACTGTCAACTGTATATCAATAATACACAAATATTTATTAAGAGCGTATATTACCTTAAATTTTACCTTCTTATATAGATTTGAGCTTTTCCCTGCAGGCTTTGCAGCTCAGCCCTGTTTGAGTGCCTGAGAACCAGATGGGGTGTGCGAGCAAAAGCAGAAAAACTACATAATGGAAACCAGCTTTAAATAAATGCAGTGACATAATCTGTATGGTTCTTGGCAGAAAAGAGCGCACTTCTGCTTTTCATATCCACTTTTTCAATAAGCTGTAAGTTTCCCTTTTAAGAAATGGTTATAACAAACGTTCTGATTCCTCTCCTATTAAAGTCAGTAACAGACATCTGCTCAGCTTCCACTGAGGCACTCAGCTGTGAAGCACTGCCACCTCGTATGAGCCAAGACTCCCTGAATAATGTTTCTCTCCTCACTCCAACCAACATTGGTATTAAGAAACACAGCCTTCATTTAGAAAAGGTACTGGTTTAAATGCCAGTATACATGGGAAGATACAGACCTCCTCATCACATAGAAAACCTTGGAAATTTATACTCTAAAAACTGAAAACACTGAGAGAAAAGTGCCTAATCTATTCATCTTTATTATTTCTAGTCTGAGGACCAAGACAGAAGAGAGCACTGAGAAAATTCATTGTTTTGAATTGCCCAGGACTGACAATATTGTTATTGGATTTTAAGATTATTCTGCTCCTTTTACAGTCAAGCAATAAAAATATGTATTTGGCACAATTCCCTTAGACACACTTGGAAAATAAAATCTGTATTATTTTATGCCAGATGTACAGGACACGGAAAAATAAACACAAGATAATGGGACAACTCTAATGGTTTGGTATTTACAGGAAAGACAACCCAGAGTGATGTCTGTACAATATTTAATGGCAAATCATAGTCTCTAACATCATTACATTATTCTCTTACAGTTCTTTCACACACTGTAAAATACAGTATTTGAAAATTCCTAATTAAAAGAGGAACACTCTGTAACAGCAGAAATAACTCAAGGGAACATGGAAAGACTGTTTCAATTGCCAAGTGTTATCTAATCATCTAAAGTCATCATACACCACATTTAGCCCTTTGTTTGCAGCAAAATCATGGACCCAGAGCTGGGTAGCGTACATTTCCTAATCATTCCAGTTTACACCCCATATTATAGGCAACACAGCAAACTCTGGTCCAACACCCTGGGGGTTTGCTCCCGTCTTACATCAGTCAGGATTTGCTTTATGTGTTAAACCACGAGGATTTACAGTGCTTCCAACGAGGGTAAAAGCAAGCAGCAGGAAGGAGACAGTTGGGTAGCACTTCCCAACTGCACTCTATCTACAGGAGCACTCAGAAACCCCCCACAAAGCTGCATATCAGCATCCCAGCTCTTGGGGCAGAGGTGAATTAAGTAAAAGCAGCAGCACAATCAGAAACAAAGCCCAAACACCAAACGTGTCCTCCTGACCTGCTCCCATGTGGTTACAGGATGGAAAGGGATCCCTCCAAACCATTCCAAACCCTGAAGGAGTTCAGAGACTTGTGTCTATGCATTGGGCAACACAGAAAAGGGAGGTATGTGTGACTTATGCATGGATTTCCCCACAGAGCTATCAATCTGCCTACAGCAAAATGAAACAGGGCAAAGGCCCAGACCTGCTGTATTTACTCTGGCAAAACTCCTCGCTGCAAACGGTGGGAGTTTTGCCTGAATAAAGGAGATTTAGGGCCTAGATGTGAGCCACCATGCGAAATCTCTTCCTGCAGACATGCAGCAGAGATCAAGATTACCTTCCTCTTCCTCTTGGGAGTTGCATGTCTTCACCCTTCTTATCTGGTAAGGCATTTCTGATATCAAGTCCTCTCCAGTATTACCAATAACAGCAGTGCCACCTGCACAGTGTCACTGCTGACATCTCATGCAAAGGCTGAGATTTGCAGGAGAGTGCCTGGCATGAGCCAAACAAAGCGGTTTTGAGGTAGGAGCTCAGGACACAGAGTGAATTCCCATCAGGACAGAAGCCTGGGCAGCATTCCCACTGACCAAGAAAGGCCAAGATTACACTCTGGAAGCCCTTCCTCTCCTTTTCTCACCATCTGCAGCATTTTAGGAGACACCACATGCAGAGGACAAAGAGAAGGGATTTGCGGACATATCCCAGCGGTGCACCTCCCAGACCAACTCACCTGCCCTGCCCCAAGTCAGGGGCAGCTGCACTTAGACCCTTCAGTCCCCAGAATAAGAGCCCACAGCAGCGGCCATATGCAGGGAACCAGCACCTCTTCCCGTGCCAACAGGAACTGGCAGCACTGGCAAACAAGTTACAATTAACCAGCTCTTTAAGCCTTAGTGTTTATCTAAACATGGCTTTAATTTTAAACCTCTCAGCTTTGTGGTTGCCTTTTTATTCATGTTCACTTTTTTCCCTTGGCTCGTCTTGAATACTACGATTTCCAGCTTATCTTTTACAGAATATATATATTTCATATATTAAGCTAAATGGGCCATTTTTTATCCCTTTTGACCGTTGATGTGTCATCACCAACCCACTCATACCAGCAAAGAGCCTGACCCAATATATTTTCTCTCTAGGTGCCTATTAAACAGCAGTATGATTCTGTAAAGCAAGGAGGCAAGTAGCAAACTAATCCTAGAAAAGATAAGCTTGTGGAAGGGCACACTGTGCTGAGACAGGGGCTGCAGTGTGCTGCCCTCACAGGCAGTATTTCTGTATTTTCCTTCTGGAAAAGCTACCTCAGGACATGTGAACTGGGGTTTTTGGCTCTCAGCCTCCAGTTTCCACCCTTCCCAGAGAGGAAACTTGCTTGAGAGTAGTTTTTGTTAATTGTTACTTATTACCAGAGTCTTAAGTATCATTTAATAACTGATTGATACTGTGCTTTTAATCCATGTGCTCACAGCTGTTCCTAGAACAGGCCATACAGCACCTCTTTTGCAACTTAAAAAACTCCCTAAGCTAAGGGGTGCATTTACAGCTCAAGTAAATGCAGCTGTAAAAAAATGCCCAGGGTACTTTAAGAGTTGGGGGTTAAACAGTATTAAAATCCCTTAAAATAGTAGTGCCATCAAAAATGTTGGGGGAAAATAAGGCTGTAAAGCTTTGGTAAGCAGTTCCCGAGGAACGTGTTTACTAAAAGCGCATCCTCAAAATTGTTCCAAGCTGCTCATTTCACCATCTCAAGGCAAGGAACAGCGTTGCTGCTTCTTGGCAAAATGTTTCTCCCAATTCCCAGCTGGGATTTTTGGCTGCTGTGGGGAACAGCCCCACAGCCATGGGGCTCCAATACACGCAGGCCCACAGCTTTTCCCAAATGAGGCTAGCCACAGACCAAAGTATCTCCTGGCTGTGGTGTGAGGGAAGGCAAAGATCCTCGTTTCATGTCTGCAGCACTAACAGGTGGACAGCCCTGCAAGGAGAGGTACTGCATTACTGCAGCATACTCCCAGCCATCCTCTTCTGCATCCCACCCACCCTGGAGCACCCTGCTCACCCACACCAAGGCACAACAGTGATGCAGGCACCAGGGGAGTGACTGCATCTGCTTTGGGGGCTCACCCAGTCCATGCAGGGCTTGCTATTTCAAAGGCACTTTATAAGGAACATGTGGAAGGTGTTGATGAGCCAGTCCTTCAAAAAACCAGCAGCAACATAGTGACCAAAGTAAGGCACAGTACGGAGCATCTATACAAGTCATCAGAGCAGTGTTAGTAGAAATCAAGGAGAGGGACTGGACAGCCTGGCAGCTGGACAACAAACAGCTTCAAATCGATGTGGCACTTCCCCTAAGCAATGCACTTTACCAAGAAAGGCTGTATCGCAGTCCCTGAAAGGGAAACTGAGGGGCAGGGAGTAGCAGAGACTATTCCAAGTTTGCTCAGCAGCCCAGGAGCAGAGCTGGCACTTGGATCCAGTTCCCTCCTGGCTCCCAGCCCATGGCTCTGCCCATCAGATAGCTTCATGCACCCTGGTATGCAGGCAGCACAGAACAAGGATGGCTGTGACAGAGATATACAACACTACCAAAGAGAAGCTGTGATGGTGGCAATACAATGCAAGAGAGACTTTTCTGAGTCCTCCCATGAGCAGTTACCTACGCTTTAGCACTGAAACACAGTCTTTCTTCAGTGGCCCGATCTGCAGGTGGGCATCGACGCTCTCCAGGAAGAAGGCTGGCTTCAGCTTGCACAAGAAAAGAGAGGCAAATTGGTGGTTGATCTTGTTCTGGAATGGGTCAAATATACCCTTGGCAAAAGGGGAGACCTTGAGCTGCTGCAGGCAGGTCATCTTGGAGTCCTTGACTCCATAGAAGGTCAGGGCCTTCTCTGAATACTCCAGGAAGACCCCAATTGTCTGGAAAAATGGCTGCTGAATGACAGACTCAAAGCCCCCAAACCAGACCACATAGTTCTGTCCATTCCACTGTAGGCAGCAAGACTTCTCATTTCGCCCCAGGCGGCCACGGGTGTAGGACTCGCGGGGGTCGAAGTCCTCAGCAATGACACCAATGCTGACCCAGCCATCGATGAGCTCCACCTCCCAGTAGTAGTTGCCCCGATTCATGAGATTCAAACCCAGCACCTGCTCACAATTGATGAACCGGGTGGGGCTTTCTGGGTAAGGGATGGGGCACAGCACCCGCTTAGCCCCTTTGGTGCCAAACAGATGGATAAACTTGTCAGCTGTGTCACTGTCGAGGTCAATGATGAAGGCAACTGTGTGGGTCAAAAAAAAAAAAAAAAAAAGACATGAGGATGAGGAGGGAAACAGGAGGAAATCTCCCCCCTCCCATCCCACTCTGATCCCCTGCTTCAGCCTTCAGGGATTAGCACGATCCTTTCTGACTTCTACCATCACTTGTTTTTAAATACCATGGCCAATTTCAGCCTTTGAGGATAAGGCTCTGGAACAGTTGATACCCCTATAAGCAGGATGAATACAGGTAACCAGGCAGAGGAGAGAGCAGGGAAGCTACTCAATTAGTTCAACCATGATACCAGACACTGGAGAATCTACCTGACAGAGTGGTTGCAGTAATATCCCATACAAAAGCAGATTTCTGGCAACCACAAACACAACAAGGAGGGACCCCAAGAAGACAGGGGAAAGCCAATCACATAACAACCACAAACCAGCTGCTCCTTGCAGGTGGCTCTCGCTGCCCTATGGCTCCTGTTGGAGCACAGACAGCCCCCAACATGTAGAGCCATATGAGAACTGCCACTGGATCCCAGACAGAGGGGACATCCAGCAGGAACAGCCCTGGACACATATTGCTGCCAACTGTATTGCAAGCCTGAACCATGGCACATCCAAAGCCTATAGAAGCGGCACAGCAGACTCTGCCTGAGCCCAGGCTTTGCTGCCCAGCTCCCTGTCTCAGTAGATGACCCCATTTTCCGTGTAAAGGCTGTGGGGGGTGCACAGGGTGTTGAAGCCCAAGCCCAGCCCTGTGCTCTCCAGCCTCAGTCCTTTCTGCTCCACTGTCTTTGTGTGGCCACAGAATTATCCCTCTGCTTGCTGCCGCTGAAGCTTACCCTCATCAGAGTCCACAAGGCAGATGCACAAACTCTGATTTAATTTAATGGAGGATCCAATTTGTCAAGGATTGGAAGGCAGCAGAAATTACGCAGTGCACCTATAGCCCTTGTCAGCTGGTCCATCAGAACTATGGACAAGGGGGGAAAAAAAACACCTAAACAGATTATGACTGTTGTCAGGAAAGCAAGGAAGCTTCCTTGTTAGCTGAGCAGTATTTCCCCCAGTGGCGGCAGTGCTCCTGCCAGCTGTTGACTTGGGATGAGCACAGACGGGCATGTGGGAAGGAGCTTGCTGGCTGGGAGAAAGGAAAGGGAAGATGGACCTTAGTAACAACTGTCAAAGCAAAAGTCCCTTGCTTACATTTCAGGAAGTAATCACGGCTCTCCTGGCAGGCGGGACTGTTTAACTTCTCTGGTAATCTGGAGACAGCCAACACTGCAGAGACAGGGACAGAAGGGTTTGTCATTAGCAAAGAAACCGATGCCACAAGCAAGGGTGTTACCGGAGCATCACCGCCTGCCTGACACCCTGATGGTACCCAGCTGCTGTGGGCCTCGAGCCCAGGCCAGCATCCATAGCTCCCCCTGCACATCCCTGCTGGCTCATGTACAGGGAAGGACAGATGCCATCTTTGCCACCTCAAGGAGATGAGCAGGGGAAGCAACAAATTGGCTACAGTTATTATGGCCATCTGAGAAACGAGAGAGAGGAGAGAGCTCAACCTAAATGAGAAAGTGCAGGAGAAAGCTACCTTATCATCTTTTTAACCCTGGTAGGTTTGGGAGACCACAGCCTCCCCCATGAAGAGGATCGTCTGTCCTGTGAAGAGAGTCCCCTTTCATGGGAGGCCTCTTTGGCCACTTGCTGCCCCCCACAGGGCCCTCCCTAACTCCCAGGCTGTTTGCTGCCTCTCCAGTCTCTGTGGAAAAAAATCGTAAAACCTCAAAGACAAGGAATAAGCCCAGACAGGAAGTGCACAACACAGCGCAACTGTGCCCTGCAGCTTCCAGGGCTGGAGGGAGAGGGGCCATTGCTCACAGGGGCCATGGTGTCTGCAAGCACCTCCCACCTATGCTGGGAGGACAAAACGTGCTGGGGTGACCTCCAGGCAGAGGGCTGGATGAACACAAACCTTCCTCTATCTCTTGGTAACTCTGCTCATCAATCCCTTTCCCCTGCAAGTGGTCCCACTGTTTTTTGCAGGCAGCGGACAGCACATCCTTCACCACACTCACAGCTTGGGTGCATTTGGTGAAGTTCAGCTCGTTTGGGAAGCTCAGAGCTGGTGAGAGGTTTTCTTCCATCGCAACTTTTAAGGCCTGAAATTCCTGAGCAAAAAAAGACAAGTTTCAGGAGCTTTCAAACAAACCAAAGTTGTCTCTTGTTCCACAACCCCACCCTGCCCCAGAGGATTTGGGAACTGGCAGCTCTCAGGACCTGGCACAAGGACAGCCTTATGAAAGGGAAGAGAGTGCTTTCCCGGCCACACATTCCTGGCGCCTTCTCTTCACTCCCTCTCAAACCCAGACCCATGCCCAGCTTGCACAGAGCAGCATTCCCCCGCAAACCAGACTCCTCTTGCTGGGCTGCCAAGGAGGGGAGGATGCGGGATGGCAGCAGTGGGACACCCCAACCTCTTGCTCTCTGCCCCACCTTGTGCCCCAGCCTCAGCAGCACATCAGCTGCTCCTGAGTCACAGCCAGGACGGAGATGGGGGCAATGGAAGAGGGTCTTGTCTGCTCGCCCCCCCCCCAGAAGCAGGGGGGAAATAGGACTGTGTCAACAGGAGAGAGACTCTGTAGCCCTCACATCCCAGGGCTCCTGGCATCTGGGTCCACATGAGATGGGACAAATCCCCCAAAAGACCAGGTTATCAGCTCCTTCTCTCTGCTATATCTACCCAGGCACCTGGAGGAAGTAGATGGTGTCAGTTCTGGGGACATTCTCCAGGTTTTGCTTGCACTGGACCAGCTTGGCTCGTCTCTCCTCCTTCCAGCGAAGATCAGCCTCAGCCTCCCCCAGCATGGAGCGCTCCCCTTCCTCGATGAAACTGGCCACCTCCTTCTGGAAGGTTGCCAGGACCTCAGAGGCTTCTGCAAAGAGCTTCTCAACCTTTTCCCTCTCCTTCATGGCAGCACCCTGAGCACAGGGAGAGAGGGTTCGGAGTCACCTGCCACAGGCAAGGGTGCAGAGCCCCCTTGTTCCCTGCCCAGCACCCAGTTCTCAGCTCTGTGGGGTCCTTCTGACACCGTGTAACACCCTTCACCCAAGAGCTCAGAGCACTTTACAATGCAGGTGTCAAGGGACCTGGCTAGGCACAGACTGCTCCACCATGTCTTGTGTCCCCAGGCCATGATGTGTTTGCACAAGGGGCAGAGGGGAACAAAACCCCCATGGGTCTGGGGAAAGAAGCTGCAAGAGCCAATGGATGCCCTGGCACAGTCCTTGCATCAGGTTACAAATGAAAGCAACCAGAGATGTTGTGAGGGGTAGCAGAGATGAGGAGCAAGAATCCTCAGGGATCCTTGTCAGGGTTACCATCCGTTTGCTCCCTTGTGAACACCACCTCTACATGCCATGCCCCCCAAAAGGTCATGGCTGCTCTCCAGCCCAGCAGAGCTGAGCAAACCCATTACAGTCACCTTAATGAGCTCCACCATCTTCTTGGCCTGTGCAATGGTGACTGCCAGCTCCTCCAGCTCGTTCTCAGCATCACTGAGGAATTTGGCTTGTTGGGCCTGCAGGCACAAAGCACAAACATTGAGCTCTGTCCCCCAACCCGGTGGCAGGGAGGTACATGGGACCCAAGCTCTCCCTAGACTCAACCCTCAGCCCCCTCTCTGACTGACATTGCTACTAGGCTTCAGGTGAAGAGTGCAAGTTGTTTTCCTGGTTTCCTACCCTGTAACATCCCACCTGCAAATACTCTGTCTCATCTGGGCTGCTAAGGTTGATGCCCAGCTCCACGCTCCCCACCCTGGTCCCAGCTGAAACCAAAGAAAATGGGAATATGAAAGCAAAACCATCAGGCAGCAATTGAAGCAACATGTTCCTAGTGTGTATTCCAAGGCTGGGAAAAATCCACCAGGGACTGGCGTGGAAGCTGAAAGGCAGGCCCAGAGCACGCACAAATGCAGCACTGGAGTCTTCTTCAACATTTCTCCAACCTCCCCTGGAGGTTTTTCATTGGGAGCAAAGCAAACCAGTTAGGGAGCACAGGGTGCTGTGTGGCTGCAAAGGAAACACGGTCTGAATGCAGTGCTTCCTGACATGCTATTGTTAGCACTAGCATGAGGACAGGCCCCTCAAGACCCTGCAGGGCAACAAGCAGCTTGCCGCCATGCAAAACCCCTCACCCCAGCTCCCTGCAGCACTTGTGCCCAGTGAGGCCAGAGAGGTGCTTCCCCTGTCCATCCTTCCCAGCCCATGCAGGTGATGCTAAGCGGCGCTTGCCGAGGCCCGACAGCTCCTCAGATCTGGGAATCACAGAGGCTTTCTATTTTAAGGCACCTGATGACTAATAATGTCAGTAAAAGGGTTTTCCTGCAGTCCCATGAGCTGGTGAGGGAGTGGGAGGTGGCTTGGGGCTGCCACTGTGCTCCCTGCCAGCATGTCCACAGCCCCCTGGAAAAAGCGAACCCTCTCCATATGCCCCACAGCAATGCAGAGGTGCCACCATGCTGCGAGCTTCATAGGCTGGGACGCACAAAGGCCCTGTATGCTCAAGGCAGCACCGCCCATGAAGGCAATACTGAGTTGGATTTGGAGCCCCAGTTTGTGGGTGTGAATTTTCTAGGTGACTCAGCCACATCTGGGAATGGGAATGACGGAAAAACCCTGCTGCCAAAACGCCAGGACACAAAGGGCTGGGGGAGCAGCAGCTGGGCAGGTGGCCAGCACACCAACAAAAACTGCCTTGACAGGGCTGTGGGAACAAGACAGAGAAGGCAAGCACCCTGTGACTATGGGGGTGGCTGCAGTGGGGTGTCCCAGGCACCCTCACCCCCAGCCCCACACCCATGACTGCAAACTTAGCCCCGCAGTGGGACAACCTCCCCCTGGGCTGACTGGCAGCTGCTCTGCCCCAATGCTTGTCCCCATCTCCTGCCCTGTCCGCATCCCACAGCACTCTGTCCCCCGTGCTGAGGAGAGGTCCTCTGGGGGCGGAGAGGGAGAGGGCGACAGCACACACCGTTTGTATGGCATCCTCTGGCACTGCTCCCGCACACTCCACTAGTGGGGGTCAGCTTTCCCGTGGGTGCTGCATGAGCCCATCCCAGAGCTGCCCCGCACGCACACCCCACAGCAGGGTCCCACCAGCAGGGGGACGTCCCGCACCCGCCCCGCACGCACCTCCTTGTGCTCGCGCTCCCGCTCGAGGGGCACCACTTCGTGGCCGCGGTGATCGTGGGCGCGGCAGCGAGCACACACGCAGGCCTGCTCGGCGCGGCAGAAGCCGTCGAGGGGCTGGAGGTGGCGAGGACAGAGCCCCTCCTCCAGCCGCCGCAGCGGGGCCACCAGGCGATGTGCGCGGAAGGCGCCGGCGCGCCGATGGGGCTCGAGGTGGGCCTCGCAGAAGGAGGCCAGGCAGACCAGGCAGGACCGCGCCGCCGCAGCCCGCGACCCCGCCGGGCACACGTCGCACAGCACCGCCGCTCCTTCCTCCGCCGCCGCATCCTCCTCCTCGGCTCCCGGTGCCATCGAGGACCCGGCGGCTGGCGACGGCGGGGACGAGCCGCCTGCAGCGGCCGCCAGCAGCGGCAGTACCTCACAGAGGGCGCGGTTCTTGCGGAGCCGCAAGGCTGCGGGGACGGGCTCCTGGCAGAGCGGGCAGCGGACAGCCCCGCCCGCCCCGCCGCTGCCGTCGGGGGGGCCCGCCCGCTGGCGGAGCGCCCCCAGACAGCGCTGGCAGAAGTTGTGCCCGCACGGCACAGTCACCGGGTCCTTCAGAAGATCGAGGCAGATGGGGCAGCCGAACGGGCCGTCGGGCAGACCCGGAGCCCCCAGCGTCAGCCGCAGCGCCACAGCGGAGAACGGCGGGGCGCCCCCGGGAGCAGTCTCCATCTCTGAGTACCCAACACCAGCCAGCCCCGCCGCCCGCCCCAGCCCCCGGTCCCGGCGGGAGGCGGGTGGCCGCCGCGCCCCGCCCGCCAGCCCGCTCCGCCTACCCGCGCCCGTAACCGCCGCTGCCGCCACTCCGCTCTCCGCAGTTGCCGGGTGTCGGCTGCCTCCCGGGGATCATGACCCCCCCATCCCCGGGACCTGGTCCCCAATCACCCACCCCCCTGGGAGGACCCTCTCCCCGGCATCTGTTGCCTTCTGGAGATCCACTTCCCCAGAGGGATGCACTGCTTCCCACTATGGCCTGCTATGTCCTAAAGGATGCATCCTGCTGGAATCTGGACCGTGGTTCTGGTGCCCCCAGGGGTACCTGCTGCACACCTGCAAAATCTCCTGTCCAGGGAAGCTGTTGCCAGCCCATCCCAATCGCCCTTCCAAGATCTGCTGCCCAGATCGCTGGTTGGGTAGGGCTGGGCATCAATTGGCAGGTGGTGAGCAATTGTACTGGGTATCACTTGTGTTTATTGTTTTCTTTTCCCCTTTTAGTGTCATATTCTGTCCCCTTGTTATTTCCCTTATCATCATTATTATTGTTGGTGGTAGCAGTAGTGGATTTGTCTTATACCTTAGTTACTGGACTGCTCTTACCTCAACCCATGAGGTTTACATTCTTTTGATTCTCCTCTCCATCACTCTGGGGAGCAAAAGGGAAAAAAGGGAAGAGTGAGGGAGCGGCTGCGTGGTTCTGAGTTACCAGCTGGGCTTAAACCAGGACAATAGGTGCAGGTGCTTTCCTACCACCCTCATGCCTATGGCCCCACATCAGCCATTCCCATGTCCAGGAAAAGCTGCAGCACTTAGGTCCTGCCTCTGTCCCTGTCCTTTCCTTCTCTGCACCTGGCAGGCACCAGGCTGGGATGGGAAGGCACCAAAGTGCTCCCAACATGAGGATCTGTCTGATAAACATGGCATCTCCAGACACATCCTGTGTAGAGGATACAACTTTTTGGCTTCCCAGGTCCATGCTGGGCCAAGGTCCCACCTGAGGACACAGCTGGGAGGAGCATGGAGGTGAGGAGTAAAGGAGGAAACACAGCACAACAAAACACATCTGTCCCTGAAGGAAATTGAGCCTTTTAAACCCTTTTTTTTTCCCCAAAGGAAACAAGCTGATGTGATTCACTCCCCAGGCATTGCCCTGCATGTCCCCAGCACCTTTGAACCCAGTGCCCAGTTTCACCCTGTTAGTCTTCACCAGCATTCTGGGGGAGAGGAGGAGATCCCGGACCTGCAGTCTCACCCTTGGGAAAGCTTCAATCAAAGCTTCAGCTTTTATTGTGTGCTGGATCAACCCTGGAGCAGAGCTGTAGCAAACCAGGTTTCCTCATTGCAGTGCTACTGTAAATAAAGCACCTTCTAGTGCTGAGCACAGGTACGCAGGGCACCCAGCTCACCCCCCCCACCCCCCCCCCACTGCTTGGTCCCACGGCTTCCACCATCATAAAGGTCAAAACAATAGTAAAATAGGGCTTTACTGGGGAAAATAGCTTTGTACATTGAACAAATGCAGCGTGGCACCCAAAAAAAAGTTGTTCTGCCATGTCCAAGAGTGGCAAGAGGGAAACAGGAGGATTGGGATGAGCACAGGGCTCCCTCCAACAGCACCCTTCTCCACAGCACTCTTCTCTAGGGTTCTCCTCACCTCGAATCTAGGCTTGGGAGATTGGGCAAGGGTGGAAAAAAGACAAAAAAACTCATTCTTTCACCCTCCCTATCTCCCCACCTCACCCCATCTACACCTCACACAGTAACTGGCCCCTGCAATCTTTCCTCTGCCCTAACTGGGCTATCTGCATGATACTTGCACATGCAAATCAGAGGGTTCATTTGTATGTGTGTCCTCATAAGCTCTTGTTAAAACACTGCACCCCACTTGGCACTGGGGTCTCACTCGCACTGTGACAGCCACTGGCTGCAGCTCAGCTATGGCACCAGCCTATGGCTTTTGGTCTAGTTTGCAGAGCCACATGGTTGTGCTGGCTTAATCCCTCCAGCACAGCTCCACTGCTCGCCCCTCACACAGCCAAAAAACGGGATAGAGGGGCTCGGTGAAGACATCATGGAAGGAGTGGATAAGCCATGTCCTCTCCCCAAGCCCGTAGAAGGAGAGGAGCCCCTTGTCATAATCCAGGCTGACCCCCAGGTTCCTACACAGCTGTTCCTGGATTTTCTGCAGCCGGCCCTTGTGCCAGGCCAGGTAGCAATCCTCCAGCACCTGCAGCCCCCATGAGCCCCCGTCCAGACCAATGTTGAAATTGTGTGCCTGCTTCCGCTCCTGGGGGAGGCTGCGATAGGTCACCCCCAGGACAACGGAGTGGCTGGAGATCTTCACCTCCCAGTAGTGGTGGCCATGGCTGTAGCCCTGCTTGCACAGCACCTGCCAGGGCTCGAAGCGGGGTTCCTGCTCCTGCCACCTACAGATGGTGATGGGGCTGTGCTTGGCTTTCCAGTTGCCTTTTGACAGCTCCAGGTACTTGTTGGCCGTCCTGGGATCAAAGGTCAGGTTGCGGTGGTCTGGGAAGAGCAACAGCATGAATGGGGCTGAAATGCTTCATCAGACCTTTATGCCCTTGGCATGATCTTCCCCAGCAGTGCTGTGGTTTAAACTGCATAGGGCTGGCTCCCAAAATAGAAGGGAGCAATTTGTAGTGTGTTTGGAGGGGAGGAGAAGCAGGATGAGACACAATACCTGCCTGCCCACTTCCCAGAAAGAATGAAACAGCCCAGAAATAGCTGGTGAGGAATGAAGATGCAGCGCTTCCTGCTTTTCTTGCACAGTCTGACTCAAAGCCAGTGAGCAGCCATGGCTCTATCATCATTTTGGAAGAGATGTGCTTGGTTTTAAGAGCAAGAGATGGGTGTGGGTGGGGAGAGGGGGAGAAACCCAGGCATTAAGTGAGCAAATACGGTACTGTAGGGAGTCATCTTCCTCTGCACTGGCTGCAATAAGTTCTTGAGCCATGGGTATTCACTGGCCGCAAGCACCTCATCTTCCTCCTGCAATACCCCAGCCTGGCAGCTACGCTGAGCTGAGGCTGCTGCCCAGAAATAACTTTGGGTTTTGGTTTTTCGTTGGTTTTTTTTTTTTTTCAATTAATAACCCCGAGAATGTTTTGGGGGGCTTGATGGAAGGAATCTTCACAGGTCCCAGGATTTCAATCGTCTTCTTGGCAAGAGTGACATGACCAACATACCCTAAACATTATCCAGCCCTCTTCCCGACAAGGAGGAAATGGGAAAAGAGGAAATCCCTAAGGAATTAGAGTGGGATGGGCCCAAAGAAGACATGAAGGACTGTGGCTGGCAGCACTGGGGCCATATGCCTGGATATGACTGAGGCAGGGCTCTGGACTGGTGCTGTGCTATGCAGGGCAGCTCATGGCCCAGCCTGGGGTGATCACTTGCCAGCTGCTGCATTGCCTGCAGAAAAGCACCATGTTTACATATGGATCATCAGGAACAGAAGGCAGAGACACCCCAGGAAGGTGAAAGGAGAGGATGGGTATGAGGCAAGATCCAGGTCAGCGGCTGACCCAATGCCAGGCACTGGCAGCCTCCATTTTCATGGGAAAGTGTTCCCTGGTGCACCTAATCCTCCTCATGGCCCTTTCCCAGCTGTGCAATATCCCCCAGCCCATCCACCCCAGCCCTGCACCACCATTCTCCGAGTTTAGGGAGAGGGACTGGAAGAACAAGGGAAGGAGCCCCTGTCCCCGCAGCCACAACCAACCTCCCTCGCCTGCTGGGATCCCAGGGGAGTGCTGTCCCTTAGGAGTCCCATGTTCTCCTCACCCTTCAGAAGCTCAGCTCGGAACTGATTGCTCCCAGGCAATCAGGGAGGTGGGTTGCCACCTTCACCACCATCGCCTGGGGATGCACTGGGCCTGTGTAGGATGGGGACAAGTATTTTGAGTGATGCCACCCAAAAACCTATTTCTCCCTGGCTTTGATGGGAGGAGGAAGCCTATTGTATACAAGCCTGGGAGTGGTCACATGCCACTGCAACTTGACACTGCCAGCGAGGAAGAAAGTCAGAGGGAAGCCACCCAGCTCTTTCCCTCCTCTCTTGACATCCATCTGCTGAACATGATGTGTGTCCCCATCCCAACCCTCTGTGCCCAGCAGCCCTGTCCCCAGAATAGTGACATGGGCCAGGCAGTGATTCAGGATGACTTGGAGCCCTTTGGGGTGGCTCTGCGATCAGACAAGTTACCTTGGACAACAGGGTCAGGGGCTTTGGGGGCCACAGAGCTGGGCAGGTCCTCCAGCAGAAGCCTGGAGATGTTGTTGAGGATCTTGGTGATGGGCTTGACCATGCCAACCACATCAAAGTCCATTGGGAGCAGCACCTCTGGGCTCTCCAGAGATGGGAGCAGGGGGAACTCCTGTGGTCAGACACACAGATATGCATGCACTGGCCTAAGGAGGATCAGAAGCTCTGACTCCCAACCACACACTCTCCAGTGGGTGATGGGGGCATCCCCAAAACATTTGCTGTCAGCTGTGGCTGGTGCGCAGGGGTCAGTTGCAGGGTGAGTGTGAAGCTGTGGGGAGCAGAGGAGCTGCGGCATAAGACTGTTTTGCTGGTGGTAGAAGAGCCTTGCAGAGTGGTTTGGGGGTGGGAGATGCTGCCCATGGCCCTATGAGCAAGCACCATCCACTCCAATCCAGCATTGTCCCCCAAATTTTCAGGGACCCCTCCCAAAAACAGCACTTCCCTGCAGCCCCATCACATCCCAAAGCCAAGCTGAGGATGTGTTTCTCCTGGGGAATGGGGATGACCAAGTATCTGCCCTCACCAAAAGGGCATGGGAAGGGATATAGCACCAGGAAGCTGTGGCTGCCCATCCCTGGCAGTGTTCAAGGCCAGGCTGGACAGGGCTTGGAGCAAGCTGCTCTAGTGGAAGGTGTTCCTGCCCATGGCAGGGGGTTGGAAGTGGATGAGCTTTAAGGTCCCTTCCAACCCGAAACATTCTGTGGTTCTGTGTGTGTGCAGTTCTGTGGGATGGTACCTGGAGGAAGGTCCTGTTGTCAGGGCAGCCCAGGAGTTGCTGAACCCTCTCCCTGTGCTGGCTAAGAATGTCCAGGCGGTCCTTCAGGCGGTTCCAGTCCTCCCCCATACGTCCCAGTGCCACAGCCTGCTCTTGCTCGATCTTGGCCACTGTCTGCCACTGGCAATCCTCCAGGGCTTTCTTCAGGAGGGCAAATTTGCTCAGAATGACCAATTTGAGCCCCTCGGAAGAGTCCTGGGTGGAGAGGAGGCATTAGAGCTGGCACACTTCCACCCCTGCACCTGGCACAGAGGCAGCCACGGTGTTACCTTGATGCTGAGTGTTTGCTCCTCCAGCTTCTGCATTACCTGCTTGATCTTCTCTGATTCCTTCTGGGCTTCTTCCATGGACTCTTTCAAAAGAGCCTGTGAAATGAAGCACCAATGTACTGTGGTGCAGCATGCTGCCCCCTACCCAGCACCAGGGAGCCCTCTCCAGGCTGCATGACAAGGCCCACAGGGAAGGAGAAGGCTTGAGAAGGGGAGAGGCTGCATCTAGAGTCAGAGAGAAGTGAAATCCTAGGCTGTTTTTCACCCCTTTTTTAACTTTTCCCTCTAGATCAGTGGGTCACAAATACCTACGGCACTGTTCATCTGGTGCTGCTGGATTTATTTAGCTCTCTGCTGCTCTTGACAGCCTCAGATTTGTCAGGGAGCAGCTGGGTGCTGTTGACACAGAATCACTGAATGGCTTGGGTTGAAAGATACCTTAAAGCTCATCCAGTTTCAACCCTCTGCCACGGGCAGGGACACCTTCCACTAGAGCAGCTTGCTCCAAGCCCCTGTGTCCAACCTGGCCTTGAACACTGCCAGGGATGGGGCAGCCACAGTTTCTCTGGGTACCCTGTGCCAGCATCTCAGCACCCTCACAGGGAAGAGCTTCTGCCTAAGAGCTAATCTCAATCTCCCCTCTGGCAGGTTAAAGCCATTCCCTTGTCCTGTCACATCTGTCTGATCAAAGCACATGCCAGTCCCCCTTTCAGCTGAGGCCAGGCACAGGGCAGTACATGGAGGCTCACCATGTCCCCACAGCAGGGCACAGGACAGCGAGGTGGATGTTGTGCCATGCCCGAGCTGCCACAACTTCCCCTGCTTGACCCTTCTCATTGCCTCAGTCTTGCCACCCATCATTCTCACCTGCTGTTTTGAGTGTTCCTCCTCAAAGAGCACCCGTTGGTGCCGCTGGCATTGTCACACCGTGCAGACACAGCAGATACACCGCTGCTCATCCTTGCAATACAGCTCCAGCAGGTGCCTATGCTGTGGGCACAGCTCACCGCGGGCCATCTCACACCTCTCTGTGTCCAAGACCCACGCCACGCCATCCCGTGCCAGCTGCACCACGCTGCACAGGGTGACATTCTTTTCCAGCTCTGGCCGCTGGTTGAAGCCCCTGCGGCACTCGGGGCATGTGTAGCCGCTCTCTGCCCAGGCAGGCTCCTGTTCTTGCTTTTTCTAGTGGTTGCTGATGTTGTGCCCACAAGGCAAGGTCACAGGCACCCTGAAAAGCTCCAGGCAGATGGAGCACACTAACTTCCCCTCCAGCTTCTTCGAGGTGGGTGATGCCATCCTGCCTGCACCACAGATCAGGGTGACAAGCTGGGGAAATAGAAACTTAGTTGCTCAGAAGAGGAGCCGAGAGGCGGGTCAAAGCTCTGAGCCAGGCATGCTCTTAAAGGAGACGCCCAGTTGGTGCACCCTCACCGTACTGGCTTATGCCACACACCTGGAAGATGGGGAGGGTTACAGCTGCACCTCTCAGGGAGAGGGAGGGCTGTGAAGTACAGCAGGAGGCCCTGGAGAGAATGAAACACTGCAGCACCACCACAGGCAGACAGACACAAGTGGCTGACAAGCATCAGAGCAATGTGTATTTTGGTGCATGCATTGCATGGGTATACAAAGGATGTATAGTTTGATTTTTGCCCTTTTTTGCCCTTTGAGGGAACTTCCTGGTATCCTCATGTCTCCTGAGCAGAGAATAGCAGTCCTCCTTGGCAGAGAGACTGCAGCACAGTGGTCCTGACATCATCCAGCCACAGAACCAACAGAGAGGGGCACCCACTGCTGCTGCCGCCACATCGCTTGCTTCTGCAGTGACAAGGGCTATGATACATGCCAGCAGCCAGACATGGCTACATTCTGCCTTTGCATCTTTCCATTTTAAACTACACGTCCTGCTGTTTGCACATGCCCATGCACACCCACCACTCCTTTTCCTACTAAGTTCCTTGCAACATCTGTGCATGTCAGTACTCCGAATATAGGAAAGGTATCACCTGAGCAACCTGCCTCTGCTCAGGTATTCTGCCTGGAGGTGATAGTGATGCCCATGCACTGCGTACCTCTACCCTGTCTTCAGGAGAAAAGCTTCCAACCTTACAATCTAAACCTTATCTCCTTACCTTTGGAGATGTGATCTTCAGGGAGCTGGCAAGTCATAGAACCACAGACTGGTTTGGGTTGGAAGGGACCTTCAAAACTCATCCAGTTCCAACCCCCTGCCACAGGCAGTGACACCTTCCACTACTGCAGGTTGCTCCAAGCCCCTGTGTCCAACCTGGCCTTGAACACTGACAGGGACAAGGCAGTCACAGCTTCTCTGGGCATCCTGTGCCAGTGCCTCACCACCCTCACAGGGAAGAATTTTTCAGCACAATCTCAGTTGTTTGCTGGAAGCTCTTATTTCCTGATGAAGGGGGAAACTTCAGAAAAAGTTACTGTGAACCAGAGCTGGGAAGAGGCAGTCGCAGCAGCATGTTGGTATTTGGGTGTTTGAACATGTGATCAGAGGATTCAGAAAGAGCCCAGCAGAGAGCAGAGTCTCTCCACTGGAAACATAAATCAGTGAGTAAAAATGCAAAAGGTCAAGGTGGGTGATGAGGCTCAGGGTGACTCCAGTAGGCATGGAAACCAGATGAGGTCTGGTGGCTGGTGCTGCTGTGGCACTGGGGAGCAACACGAAAGAGGGCAGATGCTGCAGGGCCCTGTTCTTCTGCTTGATACCAATCAACGTTTTGTAGACCTGCTACTAAGCAGCGGGTCACCTGGTACCAAGAAATAAGCAGTACATCACAGCAAGGAATGCAGGGTTTGAACACAGTCCTGCCCCCAGAACTTTGTACAGTAATAGTTAACAAGGTATTCCAACTCTGTCCCTAAGTGGGGGTAAAAATTTGACGCAACATCACAGGGACAGATGGATGGGTTTGTACTCCTCAGCCTCCCCAGAAGGGACACCTTTTGGTAGGACTCATGTCCTTGGCTATGCCAAGTGTTTTGACTCAGGAAATTAAGGTTGTTATGTGATTGTATTGTTAGTCCACCCCTCTGAGATCCTCCAGAGATCCTCCATGCCAGCTGGTCAAAATACTAAGCTCTTCCCAATAAAGACATCTCTCACCAGCCTCATTCAGGGTGTTTAATCAAACTCATCTCTAAGAGAACTGCACAAACAAAAGCTAACAGTCCTAAACTGCAGCACTCCAAAAGAAGAAAATCCAGGCTGGCCTGGCTCATTTCATTCCATGAACAGGCAGCAGTGCAACTGTGATCTTTGCAGAGAAGCAAATCAAGGCATCTCTGGGGGGACTCTACCCTGACACCCATACTGATCAGATCTCCTATACAACGAGTAGCAAGGTTTCAGCCTGGCCATGGATTTGCTTTCATCCATCTTAAGTAGCCTTTTGATCAGGCAGCTGCCAGCAGTGCAAGCCCTGTCGCCCCCAGCTGTTCAGTTCCCAGCGCTGCCAGCACAGGTGAACCAGTAGCTGGGGGGCTGAGACTTTGTTGTCTTCCTCCAGAGGTGCAGATGCCCCCAGCTGTGTGAATGCAGGAACACTGGCAGCTCCATTTGCCTGGCCGGCACCCAGCTTATGCCTGAGTGCTGCAAGAAGTGTCTGGGTCCCTAGTAAATGCCGTAGGTGGGCTCCTGAGTGTTTCGGTATCTGTCCAGGTACCTCAGAGGCTGGTGACGCGGGAACTTCAACTGCGGAGGATGGTAAACGGGCGGCCGCACAAATTCAAACACAGGCTCTCTCATATCTGGAAAGGGGTAATGCAGAACGTCAGCAAGATGGCTCAGTCCCAAACCTCAGACATCCCCTTTCACCAGCAAGGGCCCCCATGTGCACACAGGACCAGGGCTGGTCAAGCACGTGCTGGTGAAGGCTCTGTCACTGTTACTTTAAAATGCTCAATCAAAACATTCTTTGAGAGGCTGTTTTAGATTGCTGTTTGTTTGGGGGATGATGGCTCAGTAAGTACCCAGTCTGTGCTGTAACAGATTCTAGACAACTGCCAAGAGCAAGTGCGAGCATCCAGTCACAGCTCACTCAGCAACCCTGTGCACCTACTCCCAGGACCGTGTCCCAGTCCACCAACAGGCTCTCTTCAGCACCTCTACACACTGCATTGCTTACTGAGAAGTTGATGGAAGACCTCAGTAACAGAGCTGTCCCACTGACACTGGAAAAATACCAGCCCTGCTGGGGTCATTGCATCCTCGTGCTTTCTGTAGAAGTCAAATGTGCTAAAGGTTCGCATCTTGAGGCTGTGGCTGGAAAACAAGACATAAGCACAACATCCGAGGTAAACCTCTTTTCCTGCAGCATCATGGTAGACAACTACTTCCCCACATAACCACCGAGTCTATAAAACAGAGGTATATAACCTCTTTTCTTCCCTGTGAGGGTGCTGAGGCACTCGCACAGGGTGCCCAGGGAAGCTGTGGCTGCCCCATCCCTGGCAGTATTCAAGGCCAGGTTGGACACAGGGGCTTGGAGCAACCTGCTCTAGTGGAAGGTGTACCTGCCTGTGGCAGGGGGTTGGAACTGGATAAACCTGAAGGTCCCTTCCAACCCAACCTTTCTAGGGTTCTATGAAAAGGAAGTCACCAAAAGTAAACCTCACAGCTTCTCCCGCTCCATGCACATTCCTGCCCCATGCAGGACAAACCACTTTCTTAACAGCCTGTTTAAAGAAACAGGACACCACAGTGCTTGCAGGGCTGAGATTGTGGCTTCAGGTGACACAAAACCTCAAAACAGCTCCAAACAACCCTGCAGATTAAAAGGAACTGCTCTCCTACAGCAGTAACAACCATGTGATCATAGCACTAACAGCCAAGCCAATGGAGTGCAAAACTGCCCAGCAAAAGCTTGAATTACCACGGCATCGGCCGAACATCCTCACTGAAATCTATGGGGCAGTCTTGCTTGAAGAGGAGGAAGATGAAGCGATGGTAGCCAGTTCCCATGGCAGGGAAGGGCGGCAAGTAGTGGCAGATCTCCTTACCTGCCTTAAAGTCGTTGCCTGGGATATTCGTCCTGAACACAAAGAAGTTTACTTCATATACCCATTCATTTCCCTTCATTAGAATCAGCAGACTCAACCCAGAATTGCAAATCACTCTGTGCAGCATTTTGATGTCACTGGTGCCCCTTTTGACAAATGAACAGATAATAGAGGCTGCTTTCACTGGAAGAAAATTCATACCCAGCGATCTGAATGCCAAACAGCAACAACACCTGGAACGGTGTTCTGCATGTTTAGCAGAACCCAAAACACAGGAGCAAAAAAGCTAATGGCAGGAGTACCAAAGCAAGCCACTGAACTGCTGTAGTAAATGTTTATTCCCCAGCTATGCTGGAAGAGTTTCTACCTCCTGTGCCTGGCCTTTGCCTGGGCTTTCCCTGGGCTAAACAGTACATGCCTCTGATGTACTCACACCAGCCAGTGGAGGTACTCCGAGTCTGTGTCTCTTAGATGTCCATCTGCAAACACAAAAAAAAACAAAGAAAGGTGACTTAGGGGCACCCTGGTGTTTGTATCAACCCCAAAGAGTAAACGCTTTGAACAGAGGGTGCAGCTCGAGACCTCCCAGCATTCCTCTCCTATCACAAAAGTAACTCATTCTAATAGGACTGGGATTAAAATGAAGAGAAAAAACTCTACAGATGTAATTCCAAGACTAATAGAACTTCTTGACCATCTGCTTCACTTCACTGTGCCTTGGTTTCAAACAATGTCAGCTAACCTGCCTCCCAGGCAGACTGACAAGGGAGAGAGGAGTTTGGCGGTAAACAAAAGATGCGAGCCAGGGAATCGTTTCCTCTACACTGTGACAGAGGTCTTGACGTGTCACTGTCCATCTCTCAGCCAGAGATCTGGGGAGGCTACAGCCTTTTCTGCATATGTAATATGTCCCTGCTTAGCAGGTATCACATCATCTCTGGTTATTTCCCAAAGGAAACAGAAGCTAACCAAAAGCAGAATGAAATAACCAGTTTAAACATGTTTTATTAAAGAACTCATTACTCACCTGGATTTGTGAGCAACAAGGTCCAGAGGGAGCCTTTATCTGCCTCATATGACACTGCAGGGGGACCAGAAGCCTAAGAACAACATAAAAAGAACATACATTGCTCAAACAGGTTTCATTAAGACCAGATCACCATTTCCAAGGCAAAGAACATGAACTTCTTGTGGACAAGGCCAGGATGCAACACAGACATGCCACCCAGCTTCACATGGAGAGCCCCCTGGAGTGTTAATAAACATCAGCCTGCTGGTAGACAGTGATCCTGTTGCAAAGCTCTGTCCTTCTCATGTCCAGGAAACAGATTTCCTTCATCACAGAGGAAATACCCTTTTAAAAGAAATCCCCCAAAACAAATAATGCCTGTTAGAAGCATCTGACAGAAACACAGAGGCTTCCCATAGGGTTGAGGTTGCTCTCCGCTCCCCTCACACACCTCTGATGGAGTTACCATGTTCCCATAGTATACTGGCACGAGGTGCTCATCTTCTTGGCTGTACTCCACCCTCAAGGTAACCCAAGGGGTGAACGTGGCTCCCCTGAACAAGTCACGAAATATCCCGCAGTGCTCTGCTACACGCTGCTTGTGGAATGGGCCACTGCTCTTCTCCCACTCAGCTCTGACTTCGTTGAGGGGAATCAGCACTGCAAGGAGAGAGAAACGCTGCAGGAGGCAGCTGGGCACCCACTGCAGCCAGGGCAGGGAGAAGAGGTGGTAGGGCACAGACCAGTCCGGAGCCGGGCTGCTCTTTCCATCTCAGTATTCTGGTGGTTCTCCCTCAGGATCTTTTTTCTTTTCTTGATTTCTTTTGCCCGCAGCAGCTTATCATGCGGCAGACTGATGTCAGTCTTTGGCTCTTCAGAAAGGGATGAAAAAGTTATGTATGTAAAAAATGCGAACACCTCAAACACAAACCCCTTGCAGCACCCTAGAGAGTGTGAGAGAGATGCAAACTTCAAGACACAGAGGACTCAATTCTACCACCTTCCCCCTCCATCTCTACACTTTTGCTCCTTCCTTCCCCAACTCATAGCATTCCCAACCCTGTGGGTTTCCCAGCTGGTGAGCAGGTCTGGTCGCTGGGGCTGCTCAGCAGAGTAGCCGAACTGTGCTACTTGCAGCAAGACTAAAGCTCTAGGCCCTGGGATTCCCACGAATCACTTTGTTACTCTGCTCAACATCTTCTGGAAGGTGGCCAGCCTCCCTCCGTTCAGAAAACTGTAGCCCCCTTTCCCCTGAAGACGTTTGTGCACTGCAAAGTTTGAAACAAAACAAACAAAAACATCAGAACAGGACAAGCCTCGTGCCAAAGCACATAATCAGCTCTTTGCAGAGACACCCCCAGTTTCCTGAGCTTTAGCAGCAAAACCATTATGTGCAGCTCCTTCCACGAGTACCTGGCTGGGGACTGGTGTGCTGCCGGTACGTCTTCCACCACCGGGGTCTTCTGCTCTCCTTTTCCGCCAACTTGAAGTAACGAGTGAAACTGCGGTATTTTTCCAGCGCTTCCAAGTTGCTGACGTCGATATGTTCATTGGGCATCGGTCCCAGCGGGGCTGCCCGCTTGCAGAGAGCGGCTGGAAGCGAAGAGAGTTTCCGTTTCATACACAGGACGGGAAACGAGACCGAGGGAGCCCGCGGAGGGCGGAGAGCAGGAGCACGGGCCGGGCCGGGCCGGCGCCACCCCAAGCCCGCTTGGGGAACCCAGGCATCCGCGAGCTCTCCTGCCCCCCCTCCAGCCCCGAGCGGCTCCCGCTGCCCACCCGTGCGGAACCGCGGCTCCCCGGCCCGTGTCTCACCGGCCGTGCCGAAGGCCCGCGCACCGCACCGCGCCGCCATCAGCAAAGGCGCCGCCATGATGTGAGTCTCCCGCACAGGAAGGCCCCCGTTACTATAGCGACAGGGGCTCCCCCCCCCCGCGCAGGGTCTGCCTTGAAGGGCCCTCGCTGCCACAGCAACGGGGCTGTCGCTGCCAGGGCCTGGCTAGAAACGTCCTCCCAGCCTCAGGGTGACGGGCTCTTCCCACCACCGGGACGCCGCTCCCCGTCCGCGCCCTTGCTCTTCTGTCCGCAGCGCTGGGACCCTGAGCGGAGCAAAGCGAGCGGCTGGAAGCAGAAACCCAGCCCAGCAGCCAGGTTTCTTCAGGAAAAGGCTCTCGAAGGAAAAGCTGGAGCTGCCAGTGAGCTGTGGAATGGCCTCGGGGTGCTGTGGAATGTTATCGAAGCCCCAGGGCAGAGCCGCCACACAGCTCTTACCTTGCCCAGCCTTGCAGCAAGACCAGACCTCCTCCACCCCCTCTAATGGCTTGGTTGTCACAGTCCTACGCAAGAGCCAGCAGCACACCAACTGAATCCTGCCCACAAGGGCAACTGCCTCCCAGGAAGTGCCAGTGGCACTGGCCTGTGCGGTGGAGGCCAGACAAAGTGTGTCCTTGCAGCCTCAGGGATTTCACACTCAGAACATGCCAAGACTGTTTTTAAAGAAAAGGACAGTTCCCCCATGAAAACTCGGATTATTTAATGTTTGTCGTTCCCAGCCCATGCAGAGGGCACGGTGGCCTCCTGAAGAAGATGGACACAGCCATTCACAGAGTAGTGTGTAGGGCTGCCTCCTCCTCACTATGACAGGGTTCAAGCGGTGTAGGGCGCTTTCTTCAGGCTCTCCAGGAAGATACGCTCATTTTCTAAGAAACGGTGGTCCTGAGAAGGATGGATAGGATTGCTATCAGAGAGCCACAGGAACGGGGTCACAGTTCAAGGTGTCACTCATGAGTAAGGGGAGTGTCCCAAACCCTCTTTCATGTGGGCAGGTACCTGTCTGTGGTACCCCCTGGGTGTAATGCCCCACCTCACAAGCCCATAACCTCACACAGAGGAAGTCTCAAAGAGCATCCCTGCCTGGAGAAGGACCCATCCGGGAGCTGACAGGAGAGGACGTGGTTATCACAAAGCCAGAGTCCAGCAGAACTAGTTTCTTCCACCCAGGGATGGGGTGAGAAGAGGGGCAACCCCATAAAGTGAAGGATATTTTCCATGAACCCGAGGCAAGGTGTGAGGATCCACCCATCCTTGCTTCTGGTATTGCCCCTCAAGATGCCAGCCCAGCAGCTCAGAAATGATCTCAGGAGACCCTCCAGCCTATCACTACCAGGCTTCATCCAGCCTGCTCCAACCCAGCTGATTGAAGCTCCTTCCACCCGTGGTCTCCTACCACCTCACCTGCTGGGCCCTGTAGTTCAGCAGCAGCAGGTTGATGTAGCGGTCAGTGGGGCTGGCCATGGACAGGGCTTCCTGGATAGGAGGCAGAAAGCCTGGAACATTGCGTAGTGCCTGCGCTGTTAAGGAGACAACAGAGCATCCCTTTTCATTTTCTGCTGCCTGCATGTCCCTGCAGCAGGGTCCTCCCCAGCTCCCAGTGCAAGCAGGAGGTTTAACCCACCTGCCTCACCCCTCCTTCTCCTTCCAGGCAATGCCCTCACTCAGAGAGCACAGATGAGCTCCTTCAGAGGACAAGGAGGCCAAGTCATATCTGAGGTTTATATACAGGGGAACTAAAACAGCTCTTAGGAACACCTCAAGCCTCCTGAGAAGCGGAATACAAGTGCAGCTGCCCCCCAGCATGTCGCTTCCCACCAGCAGCATGCAGGAAGTCTTACGCAGTGTGGTGGAAAGGCCTGTCATAGGGGCACCGAGGTCCTTGCCCGCAGTCTGCAGCATCACAGGGTTCCTGGGTAGCACCTCACGTAGCTGTTCAAGCTGTTTCCTCTGGCGAGCCATGCTCAGCCGCTCCTGCCCCATCCCCAGGAGAGAAGCTGTTGGGAAAGGTCCAGGCCCCTGGTATGGCAGCCCCAAGCCAAGAAGGGAAGATCTGGGGCATTTGCCTGGTGCAGACGCTGTTCCTGCTGCTTTAGCTGCTCCAAGTGTTGCTGCATGACCTGCAGCCTGCTCTGGTGCTCGGACTCTACCCTGCGTGCCTCCCGCAAGGCTCGCTCCCCTTCCTCATACTTCTGGGATGAGAGCTGCAAGACAGAGCAGCTGGAGAGGCTGGGGACAGGGACCCTCGCTGCCCTGAGGCAGGGCTCCTTTGTGCATCCCCTTGTCCCCCTCCCAGGAAAGGATTAGGATTCACGACTTTGGGAGGGATGGGAAACCCCAGCTTTGTTGCTGGCCCCCATACAGTTGTAAATTGCAGTGCAGATGCTCCACTTGCCTTGGTCGTGCTTTTAATCTCCTCCTCACGGTTCTGGATGCACAGTGCGGCCCTGTTCACCTTCTCCTTCTCACGCCTCAGCTCCTGCCATGCTTCTTCCAGCAGCTCCCTGTCCCTCAACAAGTGATTCTCCTTCACTTTCAGCTCACGGCTCTGGATCTTCAGCTCTGCCTGCTCCTAGCATGGGCATGGGGAAAACTAGTGCATCACCAGCCCTGTTGAGCTTTTCATGTGTGCCAGTTTTGGGTGCAGAGCAGCACCACCAGGCACCCAAGCAGTGTCCTCATACACCCACCTTTGGGGGGCAGGGCTGGCACAGCTTGGACTGTACAGATAAACAAACACACTCCTTCCCCAGAAAGGACAGAGCCTCCCACCATGTTGCATACCCTAAAACATGCTCAAGGCATGGCACTTTGTCAGAAGTGGAAATATTCAGCCTGAATGTAGTATTTTTCACCCTTCTAGTCCTTACAAATGCAGCTTTGCCACGCTGCCTGTGCCACATATGCCCTCTGGACAGCCCCAGTGGGGAGCAGAACTGGCACTGGACACATCTCCATGGTACAGGGAGATTTTGCTTTACCCAGCACAGGGGTTTCATCTTGCCAGACTTACAACGGAGGCAGCTGCACCTGGGCTGGCTGCCCAGCCTCCTCACCTGCAAAGGGGAGACAGAAACTGATGCTTAAGCCCACCTCTAAAACAGGGTGGCGTAGGCTGTTCTGGAACAGCTGGATTCTCAGCACCCTGAGTCAAGTCTCGGTCTTAAACACCTGAAGGCAACGCTGAATGCCTCCTCACAGGCAGGACCCACCCGTGAGCCTGCCAAGCAGCGCTGGAGGCCACAGGAAGGGGCTCTACTGTGGTACCTTGGCCAGGCTCATGATGGTGCTCTCTCTCTGGGAGGCCATCTGCAGGGTTCGGTCCATGTCGCGCTTCAGCTTCTGTCGCTCCTCCAGCAATGCACTCTGGAGAGCATCGCAAGAGAGGAAGAGAAAAGCACCAAGTCCCATTTGCCACAGTATTTTTCTCCTTTAACTCATCTCTGCCACCAAACACCACACAACGTCTACAAGCTTGTTTAAGCCTATGACACCTGTCATGAACCCTGCATAGAGAGCTCTGGCCCCATGCTCCTCGAGAACCAGTGCGCATCATGCACACACAGAAGCCTCTTGCATCTGTGTGCAAGAGGGTTGGTCTGACTGTGATTCACTGTGAGACCAGGTGTGGGATTGAGGAGGCAGAGGGCAGAGGAAGGATGCTACAGCCCAGTATCCAAATCTCTCTTCTACACTGCAGCCCTGATCAGACTCAAGGGACATGCAGAAAGCACCTGGAGATGTCTGCCCCTCCTCACCTTCTCCCTCTCCAGCTCTGCTCGCTCCATGGAAAGCTGCTGGGTCATGCCTCGCCGCTGCTCCTCCAGTGAGTGTTGCAGCAATTCTGCTTTGGATTGCTCTGCCACCAGCCTCCATCTCTCCTGGGTTCAGACACAGAGGAAAGACAGATGCCACTCACAGGGTCCAGGCCAGGGACCTCCAATGGGCAAGGCATACATCCCACAGCCAGACAGGAGGGCTGACCTGGGCAACAAACACAATGCAAGCTCACCTGCTCACTCAGCCTGGACTCCATTCTAGTGATCACCTCCTGGATTTGGCTCCGCTCCTCCTCCATGTCCCTCTTCTGTTGTGACAGCCTGTCCTCGAGCACTGGTGAGAGGAAGCAGCAGGGCCCTGAGCAGCATGAGGTGGGAAGCCCTCCTCTGTCTGCACCACATTCACAGAAAAGCTGCATGTGTTTATGCTCATCACCTTCTGTGCACCCCCAGGACACTGTTTTTGAAATGGGAGACCCGGAGGTGTCCAGTGACCAAAACAGGCCTTGGCCCCCAGCTTCTTTGGCTGACTTGGGGCAACTTCTCCCTGTTTTCTGGGTGTCCCCAGCCCTGGCAGGGATCCTGCAGACATTCTGGCACATAGGAACAGAAGTACCTTTGAGCTGCTTGTCCCACTGCTGTGCCAGTTCCTGGGATGTGGTTTGGTGCATGGCCTCCACCTTGTGGGAGAGGTCATGCAGGTTGCTGGAGAACTTCTCCATCTGCTCGATGATACCATTCAAAGACCTGCGGAGAGGAGGGAGGGGACACACTTAGTCTCACCGTGATGGAGGAGGGGATGCGTGGTGGGCCAAACGCTGGGCAGCCCTGCCCTGAACCTCTCTGGGTCATGGCAGAGCGGTAGGACAGAGCTGCTGCTTAGAGTACCATAGGATATTAAACAGATCAGCACCCCTGGAAGCAGTGGGTGGGAGAGGGGATGGCACCTCCTGCCATGGTTCCATGCTGGTTCCCGCAGAGCGGGGAACTCCATGGCAAGGGACTCATGGGGATATGGCACCACGTGTCAGCACCTGGTATGTGAGGTCGAACTGGTCACTGCATCAATCTCCAGGTCTTTCAGCCGTTTCAGCTGCTGGAGCTGCTCTTCGTAGTCTTTGCGCATCTCCTGGACCAATGTCCTGCAGGACACAGGGAAGGAGCCCGCCATGGGCTATTTCAAACCAGTGCTCCCCATGACAGGAACTGTGGAAGAGGCCTGGTTGTGGGGCTGAGAGCCAGGTCCCAGGAGCTGAGCTGGCATGGCAGTCTGTTACGGGGCATCCCATGACAGGCACCCACATTTCGGTGAACCGCTTTTGGCAGTTATGGGCATCTCTACCAAAACCTGATTTCTCATTGACCCAAACTATGTGGTCAGCAGCGACTCACTGACCAGAATAAAAGGGATCTGGGGGAGGCAAAACGATACATTCAGCATCTTTCAAAGTTCAGAGCATTCACTTTAAAATAATGTGCCCAGCCAGATCTCCCCATTTCTACCTACAAAGCAAATCCTCATTCCAAAAGCCACTGAGCTACCCATAACCCAGTGTTTCTAGGCTCTGACTTCTCCATTCACTATGTTCCCAAACTGCTCCCTGGTTCCTTTGGTAAGACTGGGACTACCAGCCCCATGTGTGCTGCTCATGCTGCTCTTACCCAGCATCTTCACCTGGCTCCGGCCCAGGGAGGTCACAGCAAGGAGCAAGTGTTACTTTCATGTCAATACCCATCACCCTCCACCCAAAGTGTACACAGGGATTTAGGAGCAGACCAGTGTCACTGCGTGCATGGGGAAACATGCAGATACCCTGCAGTCTGAGCCCTGAACCCCCCTGCTACTGCCCAGTGTACTGTCCTGGTTGGCAATGTGCTGGCAATGGGACTGACCCCTCCTTCTTGTCACCCATGGGACAGTGTTGGTAAGAGTGGACCCCCACCTCGGCTCACCCATGGGCTGCTCTCTGCCCCCACTAGGTCCACATCGACACGGTTTTGTCCCTGCACGTCCCATGGATAGATTTGGGAAGTGCCCCAGCATTCCCAGTCTGGGGAGATGGATGGGGCTGCAGGCAAGGACCTGACAGAAAAGGGGAGCAGAGGTGAGAGCCTGATACCTGTACGTGCTCTCGAGATGATCCAGGTCTGCCTGGTGCCGCTGCTGGAGACTCTCCAGCATCAGTTTGTATTGAGTCCGCTCCATCTCCAGCATCTGGACCTGTTGGGCACCCAGAGAAGATCCTTGTGCTGCCGCAGGGACAGAGATCTACAGCAGCTCTTAGTGACCATAGACATCCCTGGACAGGGAGGTTTCTCCTCTCTCCCATCACCCTGATGTTATCTGAAGCAGACGCAACCCCTTCTCCTTCCCCTGGGTCTCCCATGGTCTGCATCCAGCAGGCTATGGGGTTCACCTGGCTCTCCAGCTCTGCCACACGGGCCTGGGCCCTGAGGAGCTCTGCATGACAGCCTGATGCATCCTTGTAGAGCTGGGTTGTGGGAGCTCCCAGCCTCCTCTCATGTAGCAAGCTTGGGGCTGCAGAATCTGCCTAAGAAGATGAAGAAAGAAAATTAAGGCTCTTTGGAATCAGTGGCTTTGTGGTGGGGCCATCAGCCCCCAAAGGAAGGCACGAGCCTCACCTGCAACTGTGGGGCACTCTGCAGATGTGCCCTGGGTGCAGCAAAATGCAGGGACACAGGGATGCTCTCAGGGAGGTAAAGCACCTCCTCCCAGCATGGGAATGGCAATCTACCCCCAGCCTTCTGCTGTCCCTCCTCTATCCTTCTCCAGCCCAAGCCCATTGCTGCCCTGGGCCCTTTTTCTCCAGTTGACACCCAGCAAGCAGCCTCTACCCCAGACACAAGCATGCTGGGCTCTTCCTTCTCTGGGGAGACACTCAAGGATACAACCATGAGCCCTCTAGGAGAAAGCGTGTGTTCTGCCACAAGGGCAGGCACAGAGGCTAAGCTAAATGAGAAATGGAGGCTTCAAAAACCAAAACTCTAATTTCCCTTCCATTGTCTAGAAACAATCTCAGAGCAGCTTCACCACCATACTGGGAAAAACAGCTGAAGAAAGTCTTCTATCAACTGGAGCCTCTGTTGTCTACTTATCTTCTATATATATATGCCTGGGGAACTATGTAATGCTGCTCAGGCAACACAGGGTTGTAAATACATTGTGATTTACAAAGCATTCACAACACATGTGCTTTGGCCTGATAAACACAACCTGTGGCATTTCAGGGCTCTCCACACACTTTGCCTCCATGTACACAGGCTCCCAGAGAGGCAAAGTGGGGCACACCTTTCCTCTTGCTGAGGGTACATGGGCAGAGCTGGATCACAGTGCGTTGGTGGGCAGGGCTCACAATCACTGCCCTGATCCTGCACCTCTCAGGGGCACAGCCCCAGCACCTACCTGAGTGAGCACAGCAGGGACTGGCATCTTCTGCTCTTGTGGGATCGTGGTTGTAGGGACTGAAAATTGGACAAGCCTGTGATTCAGATGTGAAATGAACCATCCCCTCCCAGAAGGATGAGGACTTCATGGGCAGAGCAAGAAGGATCCTGCTCCCTCCCTCCAGTGGTTGCTGATGGGGATGGATACTCAGACTGGCTTGTCCACATCTGCACCCCTACCCCACCTCATGCACAATAATAATGGGACTTTGCTCTGCAGAGTAAGTCTGGGGGCAAAGCACAGCTCCATCTCCATCACCTACGGAAAAGGCTGGCTCCTTTAAGTCACTTTCAGTGGCCCATGAACTGCTGCACAGCCTCAGTCACAGCAGCAGGGGGTCTTCCAGCAGACAGCACTAGTGGGATGAGCATGGGGACAGCAGGAGGGAAAGGGGAGAGACACAGGACAGCACAAACTTAAGCCCACCCATAGCTCAGAGACAGCGAGTCCCTTGCAGCCCTCTGAAACCCCAAAAGCAGAACTGCAGAGCTCAGTGTGTCTCAGCACCATGTCCCCACCATGTCACAAAATGGGAATGGTGGGATCCTGCAGCTTGGCAGCCCTCTCTGACAACGACTGCTCAAAGCCTGGGCAGCATTCACATGGCCAAGGGCAATGATGTTGCGGCTCCTGCCTTGTTTTGGGGCGTTTTTTTTTCAGGGCAGGGGGACTCTTTCTGCATACTGCTGCCCAAATTGTACAACCACATGAAACACACCCAGGGCGCTGTCATCTCTGGTGGGATCCCCTTGCACAGACTCCAACGGGTGAGCTGAGTCCTGTTTTGCGGTGCTGAGCCAGGGGACCAGCTGCCTGGATGGGTACAGAGACACCAGTGATGCACAGCAGTGTCACAGCTCAGGGAGAGGCACATGGATATTATCCTGACTGGCATTTCTAGAAGCTTGAAGCTGGCTGTCCCACTGTAATCAAACAAGCAAGAGCCTGACAGTCCTTCACAGCTTCCTTCCCTCCCAGTGACAAAGTTCCCAGTGACCAAAGCAGGACCCAGGGCAGTGTGTGCAATCTTGGCCAAAACTGGAAGGAGAGAACAGAGGTTTCATGGGACTGCAGGCAGTTATCAGCAGAATAAAGCCCTGCATTATTACCCCAAGCCAGACTAAGATAGTGCTTAAAAATATTTTCTTTAATTGGAGCCAAGGGTTTCTGAGAGGTCCTACTGGAGCAGCTACATGTGGTACAGATGCAAGAGCTGTGGCCACAAATCATGACCTCACCTGACAGGAGACCGGGGATCCAGCCCATTGCCTGGAGCTTCTGAAGGCTTGGCATTTCTCTCCTGGGTCTTTGCCTGTGCTTGGGCTTTCTTGCGAGCCAACAGGGCCATCAGCCAGTCCTCCTCCTCCTCTGGTGGGACAGGTTGAGGTACTGCCTTCTCTGCTGCCGGAAGCTGGCTGGTGGAGCGGTGCTGCCTGGCTGTGGCAGGGCTGGGGTGGCTCACTGTGGGACTGGCTTTCATTGGGGACGACAGCTCTGAATCCATAAAAGCCTCATCTTTCAAACCCAGCCAGTCTCCTCTATTCCTGCTGCCCCACACAGGGTTCTGGCTGGCTGGAGAAGGTTTGTGGCAAGGTTCTGGTTTTGCTTCACTGATGGTCTCAGCAGAAAACCTGCTGCAAGGACTAGCAGTTGCATACCTGCCTGCCAGGGGACCCAAGGGACTCTGCCTGCTCTGTCACAGGGGAAGCAGCCATGCACTCACAGAGCACAATACCTCACAGATTGCCTCCTCCCTAGCTGGCCACTGGGCATGGAGGCCATTGTGGGCCGGTATGCTCCAAAGTCAAAATCCTCCTTGTCCCATCCATCTTCCTTCTCTGTTCAGATAAGCAGCCTTGAGTCAGCACCCAGAGGAACAGCCATCTGCAAAAGCACCAGCCCTTTTCCTCCCCTGTAATTTCCACTAGGATTGCTGCCTCTGGGAAAACACAGCTGGAACCATCATCCCCAGGAACCCATGAGCAAGTGCCTCCTCAGTGTGGCTGGGAAAAGCTTCTTTGCTGGAAATCAGACCATGTCCAAAGGCAATGGAGTTATGGCTACTGTGCAAATGCTCCCAGGCTGCCTCAAGGCCAAAGTACTACACTTTTTGCACCTTTCCCTGCACTGCCTGACAGCCCATTAGCATCCCTGCAAAGAAAGGGTATTTTCCCTGCAAGGGCATCAAAAATCAATCTCACTCTCCCAAGCCAATGCTATCACCTCTGCAGACCTTCCCAGCATCCCTGGCTGTGCTCACTTGGCTGGTTTTGGTATTTTTTTATCCGGTTTGAAATCCCCGTGCTCTCCCTTGCCTGGCTGTTTCATGATTTTTGTCCATGGAGCCTTGTCCCAGCAATTCATCTACCATGGAGTGGGCTGCACAGAGCTCCTCTCTGTTAGGGACACAGTGGCAGACTGATTTCTCTGAGGGGCAGGATTCATCCTCAGCACACAGCCTTGCCAGGGGGCTCGGGCTCTTCTCTGCCAAGCAAGGCTGCTCTTGTCCCTTTCTGGGAGCCACAGGCAGAAGCTCCAGCGCCCCCTACCCAGCATGGTGGCACCATCTCAACACACAAGACATCCCCTACTTTACCTCTTCATTGTCCTTACTCTTTTGCCTTCTCTCCTTACTTCTCACCTCCTTTTGGGCCACTCCCAAATCCCAGTGCATCCATCAAGTCTTCATCATCATCTTCAAATGTGAGCTCCCTCCTCTGGACTGGTGCCATGGCATGCAGGGGCATCTGAGGTGGCTCTGTGGATGGGATCAAGCAAGGAAGGAGATTTGATCAGAGTTTTGTTTTTTTTTTTTTTGTTTAACAAGAGATCAAAGCATCCCTGACTTCTCTTATCACTCAGGATCATTTAAAAAGTAATTTTTAAATAACTCTTCCAAGTAACCACATCTCATAATAAATGACAAAGTGGCAATGTGCTACTGCCTGGTTTGTGGCCATGCATCCACTGATGGTATCACTGAGTTTTCTGCTCTGGCTAACACCAGGAGCTCCTTTACCTTTGCAAGTTTCCAATCAGATAATTCCTGCCCCTTGTCACCCAAAGTCCTGCTCCACCAAGGCACCTTAGTCCTTGCCCTAATCTACTAGCTGCTGCTTGTGTGCGGGGTGGATTTATCAGGGTGAACAGTGATTTTTAGAGGACTATCAGACTATTTAAGCTGAAAGAAGGGATATTTAGCTTCAGTGTTAGAAAAAAAAGTCTTCATTATGAGAGTGGTGAGGCCCTGGCACAGGGTGCCCTGAGAAGCTGTGGCTGCCCCATCCCTGTCAGTGTTCAAGGACAGGTTAGACAGGGCTTGGAGCAACCTGCTGTAGTAGGTGTCCCTGCCTGTGGCAAGGGGTTGGAACTGGATGAGCTTTAAGGTCCCTCCTAACTGAAACTGTTTTATGATTAGTGTCCCTGTTGCAGGAACAAGAGGGATGAGTGCCAGTAACACAGCCACAGTGTGGATGGATCCCACTGAGAGGTGCACCAACTGTGGTTTGGCATGGATGGGTGATGCTCTCAGCAACCCAAATCCTAACCCAGAAAACTCGCTCTCATCTGGCAACATGCAGAAAAGGCTGGATGAGGTCAAATGTGAGATCTGAACCTCCATTCCCAGAGAGGAAAGGTCATTTCTGAAACCTGTGGCAAACTGAAAATATCAAGCACTCAATGAGCTGGGTCACAGTTAACCCCGTTACCAAGTTGTTCTATAAATTATTAATAAGAGATGGACTAGGTGGCTTTCAATTCAATTCAATCAGTTTGGACCTCACACAAACTCAGCCAGCTGCTGATTCACTTAATACAAAGAAAATGCATCAAGCAACTCTGCTTACCTTTTTCTTTGCTCTGTTCTGTGTTCTTTTCAGAGCTGCTTTTAGTGCCAGTTGAAGATGGCTTTTTGGGAGCATCCTGCTCCTCATTAGATAAAAGCCCTGCCAAAGGATCATCTAAATTTGGAAATTATCCCATAGGAAAGGAGAATAATAAGAAAAACAAATAAACCCAATGTTATTTAGAAGAACAGTTCTGTGCTAAGCCAAGCTCTATCCCCTACCATGTGCACATGGGGACAGCAGATCGTATCTGCTCAAAGCCACGAAAGGAGGTTCTGCAGGGACCTGGGACACCCTTGAGTCTCCCTGCACTTCATACACTCAAGAGTTACATTTATGTTCAGTTTTTCCACATTTTTTCTTTTTCTCCTAGGAAAAAATAATGCTAACTTTGGGTGCTTTAATGCTTGAACACTGTTTAGGCAAAGAAAAAGGGGATTAAAAAAGCTCACCTAAAGCACCCAAAACCCATCTGTAATTTGAACAGATACTAATCTTGGTTAAAGCACAGCCTTTGACAAGCAGATCTCAGCTGTGCCAGAGAACTATTGCCCCTGCTTGGAAGTTGGACAGAATTCCTCCTGACACAACGGCTGCATCTTTTTTTCTCCTTTGGTCATCTCTGTAGGATTAGATCTGCATCAGCATCATAGGAGAGAAGGACCCAAATTTCACTGACCAGCCAAGCCTTTAGTTAACACATTAGGCAAACTATGGGGTCCTGGTTTAAGTAACTCAGAACCACACAGCCGCTCACTCACTCCTCCCCTTCCTCCCCCTGCTCCCAGACACATGTGGAGGAGAATCAAAAGAATGTAACTCCCACGGGTTGAGATAAGAACAGTCAGTAACTAAGGTATAACACAAAACCACTACTGCTACCACTAATGATGATAAGGGAAATAACAAGGGAAGAGAACACAACTGCTCAACACCCACCGACTGATACCCAGCCTGACCCAAGCAGTGATCTAGCCCTTCTGGGTAACTCCCCCCAGTTTCTATACTGGGCATGACATGCTGTGGTATGGAATACCCCTGTGGCTAGTTTTGGTGTCCTGTCTCTGCTTCCTCCTGGCTTCCCCTCCTCCCTGGCAGAGCACAAGACTGAGAAAGTCCTTGGTCAGACTAAACATTACTTAGCAACAACTAAAAATATCGGTGTTATCAGCGTTGTTCCCAGCTGAAAGTCAAGAACACAGCACTGCACCAGCTACTAAGGAGAAAAATGACTGCTACTGCTGAACCCAGGATATAAGGGCAAAGAGCAAGGGCAGAGTCCTCAGCTGCCCCCATGTATCTACGTGCTGAAGTGAAGAGAGATCCTACCTTCAAAGTTCTTGTGCAGCTGGTGAGCAGGAGATGAGAGTGCCTTCTTTTCCATAGCTGGCTTTTCTGGAAAGAGAGGCCACAGCTGTTAAGACAAGGTACTGCAGAGACATCCCTCTTCCACCCTGGCTGAAAGTCAAGTTTTCCAGTGGCAGCCCCCTAAAAGCAGATGTTGTGACACATAGTTCACCCACAGCCGTACCAGATGGGAATCTTTCTGGAAGGGCCTCCTTGCAAGCAGAGAAGAAAAGGGCCCGGGGAAGAGCAGGACACTTTGGGAACCAGCATATCTCAAATACAACCACTCTTGCTCTCCTTACACAGAGATTAAGCAGAACCCAGTAGGAACACTTTGCAGAGGGAACAGCCAAATGGTGTTTGGTGGGAAGCAGCAGCATGGCTGCTCTTGCTGCTATTAGCGATGTAATCACACCCTGAAGAGGGGCCAGGGATCACCTATGGGACAACAGGTAGCCAGAAAAATATTTCCCCAAAAAGGGAACACGAAAAGGATTTTCAGGAACAAATAATTTTTTTGTTCCTGTACCAGATGAAAATATTCCCTGCTCATTTACAATCAGGCTGTGAAAAGAAAAGTAAAATCTCCTTTTTAACTTTCTCAGGAGTTAGCTGCTTTCCTGTGATTTTACTCCTCCTTCCAAGGAGTCACATTTCCCAGGACATTGCACAGTAGTCTTCCCTGGTCCAGAACTGGATTTTGGCATTCCCAGGAGATCAGCTGGCTGGTAAGCTTCAGGAAATTTACCAGGAATTCTGTCTGGATGTTGTGGTTTGAAACGAGCTGGTAACTCAGCACCAGGCAGCTGCTCACTCACCCCTGGGAGGGATGGGGAGGAGAACAGGAACAATGTAAAAACCCATGGGTTGAGATAAGAACAGTTCAATAACTAAAGTACGATATTCTACTACTAATATTACTAATAATAGTAATAATAAGAGAAATAAGAAGGGGAGAGAGTATAAAAAAACAAAAGGGGAAATGGAAAAAAAGCTGTACCAGCTACTAAGAAGAAAATTCTCTCTATTCCAGGACATCATAGCTGAAAACAGGACACTAGAAAAACCCAACAGAAAGAGATTAGGATGATGGCCATAGGCATATTACTGAGCTAGGCACTACAAAGGGGGATTTCTCCACCACACCCAGGAATCACAGAAGCTTTTAGCAAGAAATGAAGTTCACTTGGCCTCCCCGGGTTGATGTCTACCCTATTCAATGGTCTCCGATTCTGGGCAACCCTACTCCATGCTCTGCTCCCTGCTGCATCCCCCCTCACAGCTGGAGCCCTCTCAGAGATCAGTGACTGTTGTACCAGCACCTCCTGCTCGTGGGAGGGGAGGAAGAGGATAGAGATGCTGCCCTTCCAGCTGCAAAGAAGGTCCATTTTACCATTCATCTCAGGAGGTCACCAAACACTTCATCAGTGGAGCCCGAAATGAAACAAATTCAAAGTGTTGAGGAGGGAGGAGAGCTCCGGCAGTGGTTAGATGCCTGGAAAGCGAAGGAAACGTTAAACTGAAGCCACCTGTACTCGCTGCCTTGTCCTGCAGGGCAGCTGCTGTGAAGGAGGCTGGCTGCATGCAAGAAAAAGATATCCTATGTGCGGGAGCCGAGGAGAGAAAAAAGACGAGAGCCGAGGAGAGAAAAAAAGAGCCTTTCCCACACACCATGTCCTGACTCACAGGTGAAAGCCTGAGCTGCGACAGAATTCAGCGGCTTCAGAAGGAGCAAAGACACCTCAAATTATCCATCGGAGAGCGGCTGGAAGCGAAGAGAGTTTCCGTTTCATACACAGGACGGGAAACGAGACCGAGGGAGCGCGCGGAGGGCGGAGAGCAGGAGCACGGGCCGGGCCGGGCCGGCGCCACCCCAAGCCCGCTTGGGGAACCCAGGCGTCCGCGAGCTCTCCTGCCCCCCCTCCAGCCCCGAGCGGCTCCCGCTGCCCACCCGTGCGGAACCGCGGCTCCCCGGCCCGTGTCTCACCGGCCGTGCCGAAGGCCCGCGCACCGCACCGCGCCGCCATCAGCAAAGGCGCCGCCATGATGTGAGTCTCCCGCACAGGAAGGCCCCCGTTACTATAGCGACAGGGGCTCCCCCCCCCCCCGCGCAGGGTCTGCCTTGAAGGGCCCTCGCTGCCACAGCAACGGGGCTGTCGCTGCCAGGGCCTGGCTAGAAACGTCCTCCCAGCCTCAGGGTGACGGGCTCTTCCCACCACCGGGACGCCGCTCCCCGTCCGCGCCCTTGCTCTTCGGTCCGCAGCGCTGGGACCCTGAGCGGAGCGAAGCGAGCGGCTGGAAGCAGAAACTCAGCCCAGCAGCCAGGTTTCTTCAGGAAAAGGCTCTCGAAGGAAAAGCTGGAGCTGCCAGTGAGCTGTGGAATGGCCTCGGGGTGCTGTGGAATGTTATCGAAGCCCCAGGGCAGAGCCGCCACACAGCTCTTACCTTGCCCAGCCTTGCAGCCAGACCAGGAGCAGCTTTCTGTCCTGGCTCTTCAGCTATGGGCCTTTTCTACACACTCGAAGCTCCGCAATGGTGCTGTCCGTATTGCTCCCGCTCCTGGCTTTCCCAGTCCCATTGCGTGCAACCTCCCTGGTGCCTGCTCCCGGCCGTCCTGCAGCGCAGAGTGCAGGGCACAAACGTGCGGCGTCTACTCCCACAGCCGAAGAGCCAGGACAGAAAGCTGGTGCTGGGCCTCTTGTGCAGACACAGACCTCCGCAACGGTGCAAACTACTCAGCTATAAAAATTCCAAGAGCCAACTTATGGTGGTGCTGTGGGAAAAAAAACCCTAAGGTCTACACTTCCTCCGAACTGGAAGGGATCCTCTGCAATTGTTCAATTGGCAATGGCATTTCAAAGGGAAACAAACTCCTCAAGGCATAAAGAGAAAGGAATAAAGAGAAGGAATAAAGGCATAAAGAGAAGGGACATCCTTTGGTGAAAGAACCTATATTGATTCAGTTGGAGTCCCTTGAGGAGTTCTTGATGAATACAAAGCTAGGAACTTGGGAGCAACAGGGTTTGAATCTTTTGTGTGTGTGTGTTTTGGTAAGCTACAATCAATATAAATATAGATTAGATAAATTATATTTATTATAATCAACAGAAGTTTATGTATCATGACAGGGATGCCATAAAAGGAACTGCAAAACAATTAGATGCTACCAGCAGAATGACATGGGAAAATAGAATAGGTTTAGATATACTAGCTGAAAAATGAGAAGTATGCATAATGCTAAAGAATAGGTGTTGCACATTTATTCCAAATAATACAGCACCAAACAGAATTGTGACCAGGGTCATACAAGGCCTCGCTACCTTGGTGGAAGAATTGGCTGAAAATTAGAGAATAGATAGTTCATTAACAGGATGGTTAGAATCCTATTTTGGAAAATAGAGGGGAATAGTGATACCAATTTTTACTTCCCTAAATACAGTAGCAGTGATGCGCGGATTGACTCCACAACTCGTTAAAAGTTGTAAAGTAGGTATGCTTTTTATTCAGCGCTGAGACGCACGGGGATAATTCCTCAAAGTCATGCGTACCTCAGTGTTGTTTCCCTGTACATTTATTCTCTAAAGTTATATATATTCATAAGGTTGCACAACACGCCTATACATATTCATGTCCTATCCCCGCTTCGTATTATAATGAGCCAGAAGGTCCTCTGCGCCTGCGCAGTGCCCCCTCTGCTCATGGGCAGGGGTCTCAAGATGAAGTAAATGAGTCTTCCTCCTCTGGGTAGGGGTCTTCAAGATGAAGTAAATGAGTCTTCCTCTTCTTGCACTTTTCACCTTTTTAGTCTTTATGTGTGGCCTTAGAGTTTGGTTAGTGTCCCAGCTGTAAATCCTCTACTTCTCCCCTTTATCAGTAGAGTTTGATCAGTGTCCCAGCCATAAATCCTCTGCTTCTCCCCTTTATCAGTAGATTCAGGTGTCTGCTTATTAACAGGACCGGAGGTCTCTGTTCTGCTTAGCAGGCATTTACAACAGATAGTCCTTTTGTTTAAACAAATTCCTCTAACCCCCTTGTACAACCCCCCTGTACAATGGTCCACCCTCTGTATCAGCAGTAATATTAATAGCTATAGTATGCTGTGTAATTCCGTATGTAGGAAGACTTGTACAACTTCCTTTTGGAACAACTTTGTCAAAACAAATGCTCATGGGACCACCACCCTACTCTGATAAAATACTTTCCGTAAAAGAAAAGAAAAGTGAAGATGATTTGGATGACTTATCTTCAGAAGAAAAATATGAAATTACATTATCCAGACTGGAAGTGACATACAGGACAATTCTTTAAAGAAGTGCAAAAAACCAGCAATAGTATAAATAAGAGAAAGGGGGAATTGTGAGGGAAACAGTGTTGTTTTCATATAATTGGGGATGAGGCTTTGTAATATTAGGGCTTTACAATATTAGCACTCTAAGATCAATATTAAGGCTTTGCAATGTTAAGATTTTTCAATATTGGGGCTAGGGCTAAGTTACTAAGGGAATGAAACAAAGGGCTTGAGACACCATAACTTAGAAAGACACACCCTGTGGTTAAAGACAATATCATCTCTGGACGAAAGATACACACTGTGGTAAAAAAGAATACTATCTTTGTACAACCTAGGAAACTAAGCTGGCACAGGCTTAAAGAGTGAGTTGGGGTACCACATGTCTGCCAAGAGAGTTATGAAATTGAACCATAAAAGGAGATATAAGAGGAAGGGGCATATGAAATGGAGTAAGGGGAGGTGTAAGCAGAGGCGGGACATTTAGCATGTAGATTATACACGTCAGACAGGCTGTAAACCTTGGAGTACCCAACCAATGGGGAAACAAGGGAGTGAACTTGGAGATGGGGTAGGAAGTAAAAATCATAGTTCTGCTTTTGCTGTGTGTGCGTACTTGCCAGGACACCCGTTTTTGCACAAACATTAATAAATAGCTGCTTCACTGCTGTGTCTACCCTGAGCTTAAGTTTTTATCTAGAGACTGTTTCTCACACTGCTGGGCCTCTTCTGCACACAGTGACCTCCGCAGTGGTGCCACTGGCATTGCTCTTGCTCCTTGCTTTCCCACCTAAATGTCCAATCGTGTGCAACCTCTGCGGTGCGTGCTCATGGCCGTCCTGCAGCGCAGTGCCCAGAGCACGAACATCCAGCCCCTGCTCCCACAGCTGAAGAGCCAGGACAGAAAGCTGCTGCTGGGCCTCGTCTCCACACAGTGAGCTCTGCAACTGTGCCTTTGGCATTGCTCTCGCTCTCGTCTTTCTCACCTAGAAGTCCAATTACGTGCAATCTCTACACTCCCGCTCCCAGCCATCCTGCAGCACAGGATGCAGAGCATGAATGTCCTGCCTCTGCTGCCACAGCTGAAAGGCAGGACAGAAAGCTGCTGCTGCTGGGCCTTGTCTTCCCATGGTGAGCTTTGCAACGGTGCCACTGGCATTGCTCTCGCTCCTCGCTGGTTAGTGTTTTCCTTTCCAGTCTAGTTTTATGCTCTGTCCCCTTTAACCCACGACAGTTCTACAGGAGCAAAGTTTGTTGTACAGATGTTAATAGTGATTTTAGTGATATGAGATTTTACCGTTTCTCTTGTTGCTCTAGGTCTGGTTTTTAACTTCACAACTTTGTTCTTGTCTTTTTAAGGAGCTCTGGCTGGTGGGCGAGTTAGTTATTTATTTATAGTTCCTGTCGGTTACCAACCCTCTCCTTGCTCCTACAGCTGCTGATTGCCAAGTTTTCCATGTGGGTCCTTCCCTCCGTGTGTGTCCCTTCCTTGTTCCCGGGTCTGTAGTGCTCCCGTCAGCAGGAGGTGCGGAGCTGCTTCTGCTCCCCAGCTCCGTGTGGCCTTAGTTGTGGTCGCTGCCATTTCCTTGCCACGGGCAGATTCGCAGTCTGTAGCTGAGGGTTGCTTTTCTTCAGGGGTGGCTTGTCTGGGGTTGGGGTGGGAGGAGTTGGCCCCTGCTGTCTGCGTTGTCTGGTCTGGCCATGGGACTGAGTGTTGAGCAGTCACGATTTGTGTTCAGAATTAACAGTGCACAGTGTAGGGAATGCAGGAATCTTGTTTGTTTGCTTTCCGTGCGGATTGGAATAAAACGAAGCACTTGACGGGATGGAGCCATCCCTTTATTGCTGGGTTGCGGGATAAAGGATGATGCAAGCGTGCAGGGTGCGGAGGAGCATAGTGTGGCTGCTGCGGGGCCCGGAGGTTTGTCTCCCAGCGATATTGACACTGCAGGTTCCGCAAAGGCTCGCGGAGCGGCATTACCCAAGACCAGCCCTCGTGAGGAGGACGGGGAAGGCTGGATCCGGCCCTCCGCGAGGAAGGGGGTTTGCCCACGATAAATAAGGGCGGCGCCGTGGGAGCGGCCGGAACGGGGTCCGGGAACTGCCTGGAAGCGGCGAGGCCGCTGGGAAAAAGGGTTCTAGTGAGGAACAGGCTCCTCGGGGAGGGCTCGGGCAGGGAGCGCCGCTGTCCAAGCTCCGCGGCTCGGCCACGGGGATGCTGCGGCCGGGAGGGGGCGCACGAGCCCTCCGCGGGGCCGGGCAGGGTCTGCTCCGGGGTTCCACAGGCTCCCGCAGCCGCGAGACCCCCTCCCCCCGCCGGCCGCTCCGGACTTAAAATGTTTCTTTATCAGAATTTCAAAATGAGTTTCCTTCCATTTGGGTTCACAAGCTCAATTTCAGACGCTACCACAGCCCTTACTTGAGCAGAGTCGCATTCTAAGAAAGAGGGCAGTGGCTCTTCTTTACTCTTTTTCATTTTTAACCCTACAATATGAAAGCACCTGAGGAAGCACAGCTTCTTCAGAGCACCCAGGGCCACAGGCAGAGGGGAAAAATCTATGTTAGGGCAGGGAAAAAAATGTACATCTCTTCCTTACCCTGAGTGTGCGGGAGTTTGGCTGCTGGCAGCAGAGTTGCGTAACATCGGTACCTGGGTGTAAGGGAGCATTTAGCGAAATCATGGCATTTTCTGGCCTACCCAATTAAAAGAAAGAAACAGAGAAGCTGCTAGCACTAGCGTGCCATTTTTCCAGCTTTAACTCCTCATGTGCCACATCCTGCACAGTTACAGTGTTACCAGAAGTAACTTCACGTGGAAGCGTATCTCAGAGGTAACGCAGGAGACATTTCATTTGTAACTCTTAAAACTGTACCGCTTATTAAAAAGAAAAAGACACAAAAAGAAAATGTATATAAAAATTATTTTAATAAAAATTTAAATTTCTCCCTTCAAAAAATAGGCCAAATTAATTCTGGCATAGTGTGGAAGGTAGGGGAAAATGACAACAAACCCCCTGATTTGTCCTTTTATATGTTTGGGATTAAAAATTTCCTCCCTACCATCATCTATCATTGTGGATGCAAAGGAAATCACAAATCACATTGCAAAACAAATTTTGGTATGTAGTAGAAAATTGTAATAGGGTAATTCACAGGTTTTATAAAACTCAAAGACATTTTCAGTTCCTGAAAGGATGCGGGAGAGGCACTGGATCTGGTTTTAGCAAAGGGTATTTCTGAACCAGTTATAAAATACTATACTGAAGGTTGCTGTTAGGTGACAGCCCAAAGCAGTCTTAGGATGAAGGAATTCAGGATGGAATATTGGTGTACAAGTCAAGAATCAGGAGGTCAGAAGTAGGCTGGAAAATAGCTAATATTAGCATTTTAATAACAGAAGAGAATTGATTCCTATTTTACTGCATGGGTGTGTTTTTGAGAACAGCATAGGCAGAAGAGCACTCCTGAGATGATGAGACAGGCAGCTGTGTGCCATTTAGCAATGAGATTGGTTCAGACTGCCAGAAATTCTTGATTGGATCCAGACAGTTTGCCAATACGTTTGAAAGGCTTGAAGAAGTATGAAGCCAGTTGTCATGCACCTCGACAGAGCGATGAGCAACAGTAACGTATTGCACAGGCTGTTGCTCTAATTTTTGTGACTGCGAGGTGATTCTGGTTTTTCCCATAGCATTAGAAAACACTGCTTTCCACATGTTTTTAATTTCTTAATGATTAGTCTGAATTATATTCACTACTGAAAGGGTGAATATCCTTCATTGGGTTTTTCCACAAAACACACCTGAAATAAAAGCATTTACTCGGTACGAGGAACACAGTTGTTTTTTATAATGGACGACTCTATCCCTTTCATTATTTTATAGAAACAAAGAAGTGGTATAACGTTTAGTATTTTCTTCTGATGTATCTGCTATTATGGTTCTTACATCTCATAATAAAGATCTTGCCTAATGAAAAGAGTCTTTGAAATAGATGGTCCATTTGTCTCTCACAGACATACTCTACTTGCACTGTTGAACATGCATCCATAAATCCTGTTGTTCCCTATTCCAGGAGGGTTCCAGCTCTACCAATCATTACTCTTAATCCATCACAAAGTCCAGGAGCACTTCCCCTCCAGAACTGGGCAGTCACAGCTTTTTTTTTGTAACATACTAACAACAAATTACTGTGGTGATGACACGGTTGATCAGGTTTTGTTTAGAAAGTGAGTAACAGGAAATCAATGAGAAGTTGAATATCCTTCCTCCTTGGGGTTTTGGGTTCTTTTTAGTACAACTTCATTGAGTGACGGCAGCCATGTGTTCCAGTGTGAATGAATATATCTTTCTTCCCTTCCATCTAACCAACTTTGGCCTAGAGTTCTTACATTTCATTTATGTGTATGTGCATATACAGAATTTACTATTCATTTATCTATTAAATGGGTAATATAGAACAGCGCAATATGTAATTTGTAACAATCAATATATTTTATGTATATTTCTAACATCAATTTCCTTTTAACATATCTATCTTTGTAAACATACCAGCGCAACAGAATAACATCTGTAGTCAGCGCAGTGTTTTTTTACTGAGGAAGGGTTTTTATTGATTTAAACTATTAAGCACAGTTCACCTTTCTTCAGGCCTTTGTTGCCAAGTCTCTCACTCATCACCTCCATCAGTAAATACTGTACTTGTTGTCTCCCTCAATGAGGACCATGGCAGAAAGAAGTATTTTGTGTTCAGGTTTCATAACAAGAAGAACCAGATGGGAAGTGACAGGCATTTCAGACATTGACTGGGCAGGGTGCACAAATCCCTTTTGGGGTCAGCCACTGCAGCACCAGGAAGAACAGTTCTGGGGGGCATGCCTGGAAGCCTGGCATACTTTGACCTCATCAGAACAGTCCCCCTCTTCTGCGCACCTTGTTTCAGAGCCTTGGGCTTGCTTCCAGCCTGTCAGGACTCTGTTTACATACTCTGCACACGGCTGTCTTGAAACAGATGTTAAAGAAGGAGTTTGGTTTTGGTGTGTTTTCTTAGTGTCATCTGTATACCAAGGAGCGGGACCAGAACACAAAAAGTAGATAGAAGTAGATATTTTCAGACTTATTTTTACATTACCTGTAAACGGTCATCGGTGGATAAGTGGGCTTGAATTCGAGGGTCATTGGTAGCACTGTCTATAGCTCCATGGAGGGGCGGGAAAGAAAAGTACCTTCAAGGCCTTTTACTGCAGATGTATCATGATGCTCAATAGGTACCCCCTGGCTGATGGGGACCAGGACCATGGTGCCCTGGAGTGCCCGTCTCAGAACGGGGTTGGTGAGGGGATGTCGTGGAGCAGAGCCTGAGTGAGAGAAGTGGCACCATTCTCTGCAGCCTGCGGGACAGGGGCTGTGGGTGCTGCCCCCTCTTCCTTCTGAACTTTTCTTGGGGTGCATGTACCTGTGTGAATGGCAGTTACTAAAGTGATGAGCAGCTTTCCTCATTGTTTTGCAGGTGTTTCATGGGGGTGAAATGAAAAGGGAGATGTGGGGGAATCTGGGGACGGATGGTGTCATTTGCGGCACCCCAGTGTCACTGGGCGGGGGGGGGGGGGGCAATGATTCAGCAGGAGAGCAGATGAGTAAAGAATGGGGGCGTCCTCTGAAGAAAGGGGGCTAACAGCATGATTTGGGTCTGATACCCCACAAAAGGCCTTTCCATGATGGACTGTGCTTGTGGAGCTGGAGCCACTGTGGTTGCCCCAAAATAATCCAAGATTCTGGGTCTGCAAGGGTTGGGGCAGGGGAAGATGGTGGGGAGGGATACACCCCAAAACTCGGTACTCTATCCAACCTGGCCTTGAACGCTGCCAGGGATGGAGCACCCACAACCTCTCTGGGCAGCCTGTTCCAGGGCCTCACCACCCTCACAGTAAAGAACTTCTTCCTTATGTTTAACCTGAACTTTCCCTGTTTAAGTCTGAACCTGTTATCCCTTGTCCTATTGATACAGTCCTTGATGAAGTGTCCCTCTCCAGCATCCTTTTAGACACCCTTCAGATACTGGAAGGCTGCTCTGAGGTCTCCATGCAGCTTCTCTTCTCAAGGCTGAACAGCCCCAACTTTCTTTAGAGGATAATCCTCATGGCCTCCTCTTTATTCTTTGGCAAAACCTGGGTAGTGATAAACATTGATCAGCAAGTGTTGGAGGTGATTTTGTTTATTTGTTTTGTGGCTTACTCAAACTAGGTGGAAAGCACATCACAGCAGATTTTCTGTACAGCTGAAAGTCAGTTGCAAGTCTTTTCCAACTCTTCGAGTGCATTAAAATGCTAAATCTGTAATAATTACTTTGGCTATGAGAAAATCTTCCCCTGAAAGCACTGAGTATGAGGAATTTTGTCATGGACTTTCATGTTGGAAAAAGATCAGGAAATATTTAACAGGTAAAGGAAGCCTCTCATTTTCATCAGTTAGGTTTTAATGACTTGTGTGTTGCTCAGGACAGGAAAGTGTAGAATGTGTGAAAAGAAGCTCACAACTTCAGGACCATTTTTCCAGTCACTTTTCTTTAGTATGTGTCCACTCAAAGCAATTGGAAATGCAATTGTGTGGACACAACTCCGAGAAAGGATTGTAGTACCCCAGACAAAATAGGTTCTTAATACCTAATGATCAGAACTCTGTTTAGCTTGATGTACTTAATTCTGGCAATGCACATTGCAGAAAAACTGGAACACTTCTAACACTGGCAATATGAGCAGGATGGAATGTGAACCATGGGACAGATTTTTGCTTGAGTTCTCTAGTGAGTGAGAAGTATTTGAAGGGGGGTATGTGGGGGGAAGGGGACGTCCAGGGATGGAGGCCAAGAAAATGCCATCTCTTGCATTTTGCATGGTGCAGGTAGAAATGGCTTGGCAAGAAATCATGCTTCAAAGTGGAAAAAAAGAAGTTTAAAAGTTCAATATAAACCTCTCCCCATTCAGTACCATGGTTGTGGCAGGTCCATAGAATACACAAGTTGCCAGGTGCAGACCTAATAACTGAAAAATGGGAAAGTTGCCAAGTGAGAGGTCAGGAAATGTTTTAAGCTCCAAAGCAAGAGTTTATTTCCATTCATGCAAATGCGTTCGTGCAAATGGGATCCATTAGATTTGGTCACACCTTGCTTGTATCCGTCACACCCCCGGTTAATCCCATGAATTCAATGCCATTGAAATATTGTCAGCACTCAGATTTGTCTACATAGTTAACTCCTCTTCTTTCGCCTTTTGATACAGTTTTTAATTCCATTGTGTCGTATTTTGGATACAAGCCAGATACACGTGCCCTGAAGGTAAAAAGTGGACTGGTTTGCTTTCTTCCTGATTCATCCATCTCTTAGTTCGGTTTAGTTTGGTTTATGTTTTGGTGTTTCATTAGGAACTCTATCAACAGAGATTAAATGGTGCATTAGAAGTGATATATTTTCATGCTGGTCTGCTTCAACTGTTAACTGTGTACACTTGAGTAACATGTTAAAAGATAATGTGTATGTTTGGAGTTTGGGTGCACAGCAACCCCAGGAAAATGATTTATCTAACTGTTTCAGAGTTTGAGGATTCTGGGTTGAGGGAAATGCAACACAATAAAGAATCATAACTAGTTTATTAATACAGGCAAAATGCAGAGGTATCAAAAGATACAGTAAAGGACATGTCTGATGTTTGGTTATATTACCAACCCCAAAGAACATGTGATGACAACCAGGAAACCAGCTCCGAGAAACATCAACACAGTGAGAGGTGGCAGGCTTAACCTTAGAGGGTGTCCCTGCAGAGGCAACATTGGCCTGGGTGATATGAGGTTCTCCCTTCCAGCATCGCATGAGGCTTGGGCTTTTATACTAGCAAAAATGCACACTCATTCTGATGTAGGGGTCCAGCCTACATTGGAAGAAGTGGCCAGCTATATCTACGAAGGTCTCCAAGGGTCGAGACTTTTCTGGGGATGAGCCAAAGCGCATCTTCCAGAGGGGAGCCAAAGAGGAGCTTTTCAGAGAGGAGCTACCACGGACAAGCAGTACTTTTCTATTTTTGTATGCTCCACTATGGACCATTATCTAGTGTCACTGACACTCTAACTGACAGCTACTGGCAGTTCTGCAGTCAGAAGGATGCCCCCAGTGAGTACTGGATGCATTCACATACCTCTATTACTCATGCAGTGTGAATAAGGTGTGAGGTTTCAAGTTTCTCTGTCTGCTGGGGCTTCTCTTGGGAAGGTGAAGAAACAGCGATACTCTTCCTGTATTTTTGTAGCACATAAAGGTAGGAAATAGATGAGTTGCTTGGTGCAATTTGGTGTAAATCCAAATTATTGTCAGAATACAGTTGTTTTCATCATTCAGAGAATATTTTTGGTAAAGGATCAACATAGCTTAAAGATGGCATCACTAATTGCATAGCAAGTGAGCAGCTGGCACAGCTTCTAACTACCCAAGTTTGGATAGTTAATTCTTTTCTCCACCTTGGAGCAAGAGTAGTCCTAAAGCATTGTTGCCTGGTTCTCAGTTGTTCTCAACATGCACCAAGTAACAGAAAAGACCATAAGGAAAACCTGTCAGGGTTTTATTTCTGGTGTTTACCCAGAGCCAGTAGAGAGGAGACTGAGAGGTCTGGGAGGCAGGCAGCTGTAAGCACACCTTCCCTGGCATATCTGCCAAGTGGCTTGCTTTGCTTGTCTCTCTTTCCCAGTGGTTTTAAATCCTGAGTTGTGAGAGTTAAATGAATCCGTTGATCTCAACAGAGCTCTTCTGCATGGAAATAGCTGCTCAGGAAGGAAAGATGTCACATCGATGTTTCCCCTGAAAAATCTAAGTGCTTTATGAAACAGAATTGTAAAAGACAGTTTGTTTTTTTTCCCCTCAACTTCTCCCTTTTAAAAAGTAAGTATTAGGCACCCTTTATGCCCTTGTCACTGTCAGGAAGCTGGAGGCTCTGCAGGAAGCAAACCAGAAGCTAGTGTTTGGTAACAGCTCTCTGCTTCTTCTTTCTTTTCCCATTTAGTTTTCTAATGGGGAAAAAACGTGAGGAAGCCTCTGTCTAAAGGGCATTCAGAAGGGAAGGATCAGGAGATGGGAGTGGAACAGAGGCAGAGCAAGGACTTCATATCTTCCCAAGTTTTTGTTACAGAGGAAACAGACTAAATAGTGTAAGAAGACCTGTTCCACCTACTGAGATTCTTTACAGCAGGTTCTGGAGAAGCGAACTTCCTGAAGAGTTAAAACTAGGAGCAAAAGTTGTTGTGTTGTGTGTTCCCCTCACTGCACCCCTTCTCTGCTCCCCTTCTCACCCCCAATTTGCTCTTGTGCCCTCTGAGGTCAGTACGAAGCAGTGGGAAAGTGGGTTTGGGAGCCTCAGACACACGGTGTCTGTACACTGTGTGGTGTGTAGCCAGATGCGTGTCTGTTATCATCCACTCCCGTTCCTTCTTCTGCGTTGTTACACTCCCATTCCTTCTTTCTCTTTGTTAATCAAGACTTCCCTTTGGTTAGTTTTTTACAATGTGATTTCCAGTTCCTGTCCACAGATTTCCAGTTCCTGTCCCTCCATCTATACGATTGCTGGAGAATAATACAGCTGCTGAGACTGCATTTTTGCACTTACTGGCTACGTTGAAGAGTTTCTTATGAAAATATAAGCCAAAAGACACATTACACAACCTACTGGGAAAGCAGGAGTGTTCGTGGCAGTAGGCCAGGAGGCCCCTCTGAACAAGTCGCTCTAGTCCTTAAAAGTGGAGGTGTGGGATGTGCTCATCATGCCTTCAGTGATGCCATTGTCTGATTTTTCTGATGTCCTGAAAGTAAGCACTGTGAAAGGCTAACCCAGGACTATGGTTTTCTTGTGTCCCGAAGGCCTTAGTCTGAGATGTTTTCCTTGGAAAGTGATCACAGTCTCTGTGTTTTGAGTCTTGTGCTTGGAGCAAGCATTCATAGCAATCACACTGAGGAATAGAAAAGAGAAGCTAAAAACCAAGCCAGCACTCACAGCTCATGCAAAATCCCATTTGGACTCTAGTGAATTCTGTGTAGTCAAGTTAATTCTACCTTGTGCTGTCATGCGAGTCCTCCTTAGGCCTCTTTCTGTCTACCTGTAATCCACCCATGTAATCTCTAAGTGTGTTTTGCCTCCTGCAGAGCACAGTGTGCTCCCGGAATACAGAACAATTTCATTATAAATAACACAGACCTAGTTCTCGGTGGCTGTTTTCTTATGTTACACACAAACTCTCTTTCCTGCTGTTAAAATCATCAAATGGGATAAGTCCTAAGGAAAAAAAAAATATTTCATTAATGGCTTTGAGAAGCTCACAGATTATGAGCACTGTCAAGAAGCTATTGAAGAGGGATGACATTTCAGTCCAAAAGTTTACTCTGTTGACTTGAAGAAATCACAGCTAATGTTAGTGAAATTGGTTTTGCCAGGATGTGTGTTTTGTTACCAGTGCACTGCAACATAGACCTTGGGGAAAACAGTTTAATCTTGTACAATGTCAGGCAGTTGAGCTAATCCCAGTTTTAAAGGGAATTTGAATGTGCAGTGAAATTCCAGAAGCTGTCAAGTGTGAGGATCTGGGGTGCAAACTCCTCAGGCTGTCCCTTCTTTACATCACAGGAGGTTTGTCAGGGTTAGGAGCAGATGCTATTGCTATCATTCTGTTTCCTGGCCAGCTGCTTTCGGGTTTCAGCCGTAAAAAGCTTTTGATTGATTTTGGTGCCACCTTCTGACCAGCCAGAAGCAGACAGCTTTCACAGTGTAGCGTTTGCAGATAGTGATTTTGCCCGCAGTGCGCACGCAGTGTGTTCAGTGCGAGCAGAGGGACTGCAGAGTTTTTGCAAGGGTATTTTACAGACCTCACTTCTCAGAGGCAGGACTACAGATGCCTGTAACAGTGCCTGGGTTGTTTCAGCTTAAAACCGTGCTGTGAAAACACCTTCTCAAAAGTTAGCATTCTTCTGTTCGCATAGCTCTTTAGACCAAATGCTTCTGGTTTCAGAGATGTCTTGGCATGAAGCACCCAGGGTCTGCTTAGGGTTTGTATTTTTTGGGGGGGTGGGTTTGGGTTTGGTTTGTTTTTGTTTTTTTTTTGTGTTTGCAAGATGACCAATTACAATAACGGAATTTAAATATCAATATATGCTGTCAGGTTTTGAATGGTATCATGTATAAGTACTCATAATTATAACATTATTTATCTTATGTCCACTCCATAAGAACAAGACCATTTTGTTCAACATTCTGAAATGTGCCAGCCCTGTAGTGTTAATAAACCTACAGTGCCCTACAACACAGGTGAGTGAAATACCGGGATAACATATTTTCTCTGCCTCTTAGTCATGGTGCTTAAGAAATAGACGTACATTTGTTTGATTTAAAAATTCATATCCTTCAAAATGTAACATGGTTGGTTTATAGATGACCTGTAGCACACAGTCTCTCTAGCCTATGGTGGTCAGAAAAAATAAACAGAAATGCACAAGATTGAGTGTTTTGGATAAGAGGTCACAAAAAAACACAGTAGTCTGTTTAGCTGGATTTAGCAATTTAACATCATCCTCCTGGTGTTTTTTTGCATGAGACAGTTTCACTGACCTGCTTTGTTGAACAGTTGCACAGTTATGCTCATCTATTCCATCTTCTAAGGCAACAGCATATGGCATGCAGTAGGTCAGAGGACTTAGGTGAAGGGCTGCTCTGATCCAGCTTTGCTACCAGAGTAATTGAACTGTGTAACTAAACTCCAGGTGACAGAGTCTGGTCTGGGCCATCTTGAAAATATTCAGTGAGGTCCGGTATTAATTTGGATGAGGGTTGTTACATGGTCACCAATTTACTGATTCCAAATATTAATTGTCTTTATTTGACTATCATTTAAAAATGCTTTCCATTCCAGCTTGCCCTTACTCCTGATCCCTTGATAGATGTTTCTTGCTCATCAGTTAGTGTGACTGTATGGACTATTTCACACAGCTGAAGAGATGGAAATCTCCATCAAGGAAGAGCAAGAACCCTCTTAACACTGACCAGCTGCTGCCAGAATGGAAACTTTCTCTGTCAGCAGCAGGTTTGCTCCAGGAATCCCCATCTGTTCACATGCAGACACTGATGCTGTTACCCTGCAGTCTTTAGACTCTGTTACTGGAACAATGCAGCCTGTTCAGAAATCCTGAGGTCATTGTGTGGGATTTGACTGGGGCTGTGGGCAAGTTCGCAGTGGTCGTGAATGGAGTAGGGTGAAATACTTGTTGAAGGAGAGTTTGGGGGAGCAGAGTGGTTATTTTATTTCCAAACATACAACATCTCCAAAGCAGAAAATGGTTTTGGTTGTTTGTTCCTGCAGATGGTTAATTCTCTGGTCTCTTGTGAAAAGGTTTGTTTGATAATTCCTCTTTTGAACTGCAAACAAGGTCTTTCATTCCTGTCCTGCAGGAGGGAAAAAAAGCAGTAACTGGTGTGGGAAGAGCTTCAGTTCTTGAGTAAGACACTGGATTTGCAAACTGTTATTACAGTTCACTGGATCCATAGACAGTGTGTTTTGTTGCCTGTTTCATAGGTGGGAAGCTGAGGTTAAAGTGTATACTTGTTAGTCTGTTGTCCCAGCAAGACAAAACTTCTTTGTTCCTTGGCCTGTGGGTAGTGCGCAGGATTGTAGTACCTGTGTAAAAAGACTTCTTGCTGCATCCACCTTGTTCTGAGGATTAGTATAAGATCTCTTTGCAAAAGTCCTTCAGGTGAATCATATATGATGGAATCCCTTGAGATGAAGGACAGCTTTGTGCATGATGTCCTCTGGTACTTGGACAGCAGAGCTTTGCAAAGCATGTTTGGTTAACACAGCTCTGGAAACAGTGAACAGCCTTCTGGAAAAGGCTGAAACTTGCTGAATAGATGGACTTCAGACTACACGGGAGTGTTTAGGAGCACTAAGGAGTCAGACCAGCTGTACACCTGCATGGTTCCAGAGCCCAGCAGAGCCTGCAGGGGCAACAGTACAACTGCTTCTCCATAACATGAATCCTAACTTGTGAGTGGATGTTTCCATCAAACCCCAGACCTTGCCTGATTTCTCACATAAATCTGGTTTATAATGGGTGTACCTCAAGTGCTGAGAATTTTGTTTGTGGCACGTGCACCCTTCCTGCTTTGTAAACCAGGGGAGATTCATCAGTAGACAGTAGTAAAGTCACTTCTGAGTGATTTACTCAAAACCGTGGAGCTGTATTTGACTGAAGAATGCTAATGTGTTCTTCTGAATGAAGAATTTGACTCCATAGAAGGGTTGAACAATTTCAGCTGCACTAGGCCTTTTCAAATCAATTTTTCCTTACAAATGTGCTGGAAGGACATGATGTGTGTACTGTGACAGCAGCAACTGCACCTCCTTGCTCAGGACACGGCTGCTGAGGGGAGCAAAGGAGGACCTGGCAGATGTTTTTTTCTTTTCTGTTAAAAAAAAGATGTGTGTTTTTTTTTTTTTTTCCCCAGCAGACTGGGAGCTCTGCAGATCCACCAGGCTGTGTGGAGCCAATGGAGATACAGGCAGTGCTCACTGTGCCAGGTAAGGCACTTTCAAAGTATTTACCAAAGAATTTGAGAAGTACTCAGCTAGGGAATCGCAAGTTCATTGTGTCCCTTTCCAAATGCTGCAGTAAACCATAATGAAGGCAATTCCATAAACCAGAGCACTTTCACAAGTGGTCTTTTTACTTGCTTTGTGATTGCACTGACTTTCCTTACCCTTCTCTACCCCCAGTTTGTCTTCTTTTCTTGCAGCTTTGTGTCTCAAAACGCCCAGACAGGTTTGTGACCTACATTGATGTTCAGGCTTCCTACAGATACAAACCCAGTCAGTAGAATAACTTGAAGCAGTTCTGCAGACCTGGTTTTAAGAGTCAACGCAAGGTCTGTATGGATCAGGAGGTGATGGAATACATTTTTTTTCTTCAAGCAACGTGTAATGCGTATGATTTTACTGAGCTACAGCAAAGCTTTGAATTATTCTGATTTCACCATATAAGGAGTTGTCCCATATGTATGCTTTGAAAGTGATTTTGTCTTGGATGAAGGTCTTGTATGCACATCAAATTGCTAACTACTGAAGTGATTCCTGTTTGCTTCAACAGTATCTGCAGCTATCCATGTGGTTGCGGTACTGTGGCAAATATCCTTTAGTACTTAAGTATTCCACAGCAGTAGAGCAGAGTGTCTCAAACAGGTTCTTAAGTATCATGAGTTATGTAGGGCTCCTGAGTTATGCAGAGCTCCTCAGTAATTTAGCTAGGAAAAGAGTCTGTCTTTCATGGAACTAATTTTGGGCTCAAACGTACTGTGTTATTTCTCCCATCTCTAAACCACCTTGCAATTCAGCTATGTTAGTTGTTTTAAATTCTCACTCTTCTGTCAGAGAAAAGTAAGGGGGAGGCGAGGAATGATCACCCAGTCATTACTGCCTTACCTGCCGATCCAAAGTGAACAGGTCTTTTCTTTTTCGTCACTAGAAAAGTGAAAAATAGTCTTTTCCCAAATCACGTTGAGAGGTTGGATTCTCACATCATGAATGTGTCTTGCAGCTCCACCAGTAAAGTTTTGGGAGGAGGCTACAGAGTCCAGTTTGGGGCATTTTCTCAGAGTGGGTGAAAAACAAAACCCACGTAGTTAATTCTGCTATGTATTTAGCATTCCTGCTTTTCCCCTTTTTAGTCTGTTGCTCAAGCCCTACGTGATGAAGATTGTCCTTCGATGATCATTCCAAGCAGGCCTTGTGAATAGTTCTGTTTCTTACACACATCTTAGCAGACTGTAAGCGTTCACATAAAGGTACAACTCCAGTCTGAAAAGTGTTCTGTGTCAAGATCACGAGGAGCTGGCTGTTACCTGGCAGTGGCATCCATTCAGCTTTAAACAGGTGCTGCTGGAACTCACCTTGCATATGTGGAACTGACATTTGCTGTTATGTATTGTTTTGGGTGCTGCCATGGTTTAAGCCCAGCCGGCAACTCAGAACCACTCAGCCACTTGCTCACTCCCTCCCCTTCTTCCCCCTGCTCCCAGAGGGATGGGGAGGAGAATTGGAAGAATGTAACTCCTATGGGTTGAGATAAGAACAGTCCAGTAACTAAGCTATAACACAAAACCACTACTGCTGCCACCAATAATAATAATGATAAGGAAAATAACAAGGGGAGGGAATACAACTGCTCACCACCTGCCAACTGATACCCAGCCCGACCCGAGCAGTGATCTAGCCCTTCCACGTAACTCCCCCCAGTTTACATACTGGGCATGACATGTTGTGATATGAAATACCACTTTGGCCAGTTTGGGTCAGGTGTCCTGTCTCTGCTTCCTCCCGGCTTCCCCTCCTCCCTGGCAGAGACTCAGTCCTTGGTCAGAGTAAACATTACTGAGCAACAACTAAAAACATTGGTGTTATCAGTGTTCCCAGCTGAAAGTCAAAGCCACAGCACTGCACCAGCTACTAAGAAGGAGAAAAATGACTGTTACTGCTGAACCCAGGACAAAAACATAGGTGCTCTTAGTCTAGAACTCATCATGGGCTGACATTGCTTTCCTTTCTCACAGTGCTTGGGACAAGCTACATTAACTTAACTGAGCTGAACTGTATTGAGACCAACTTCAGAGGAACCTGCCTATGTAGTCCTTCATGGAGAAACATATCAAAAATAGCTGCTGAAATGTGTGTAACAAAAACTTTGTCCTGAAGAAAGTCTATGGCTCTGAGCACCACAGGGGTAGCTTGCCACAAGCAGTTCTGATGGCTAGGGGTACTGATAATACTTGGGATCGCAAATGAACATCATCTCTGACTGTCTGGGTTTGGATTCTGAGACTGTGTCAAAATTGTGGGACCTGAAGCCAATTCCCCTGTCCCTTTGCAAACCTCCAGACATGCCACAGCTGAGGGATACCTTCCCTTTGTCTTCCTCTCCCTCCACAAAACTCGGTTTCACCCGGAGGTGACAGGTCTTGCTGTGTGTAACCATCCACTACTGCTGGGCTGGTTTAAATGTTGTCTAACCCTCTGAGGCGCTCAGAATTAATGGATGTGTCTCAGGGTCAGAGGAGGTGTGCTTCAGGCATTTAAGACTCTGCCTTCTAGAGGTGGAGTCCAGAGAATTATTTTACTTCCTATTGCAGCAGTAGGATTTGAAGTGACACAAATAGAAATCAGACAAAAGCTGACTCTTTAAACAAGATCTGGGTTATGAATCAAGCACTGCACACAACTAAGAGATGAAATGTTCTGAGACAGCTGTCTAACCTTAAAGCAAGTTTGTGTGATTCCAGCAGCACAACTAGAAGGTGAAAATCATTTGTCCAAACCTGTACTGTCTTAGTCTCTTTGGTTTTTTTGACTCAAATGAGGGGAAAGGAGCTCATGCCAAGCTAAAGCTGAGACAAGCCTATTGATTTAAGTACATCTACATGTTAGAGGTGTATGTGTCAGAAAACTGCACTCTTCAGGAAAAAGTTGACTCTTCATCTCCTTTTTATTTATTGTGTCAAAATAATACAGATGAACATCATCAGAGTGTAAATATGCAAAATGCTTGTTATGAAAAGCAGCATTTGTTAGGGATGAACTGTCAGGGTCCTGCCCATTCTGACAAACTCTGGGCGTGTAGAATTTCCCCTCCCCCCAAGCTATGAAATGGGGTTGAAGATTGACAGCTGCAGCGAGGGTACGAAAGGGCAGAGAATTCTATGGAGTTCATGGACAGTAGTGCAAAACACTACTGGGGCGGGGGGGGAGTAGGGTGGTGGTGCGGAGTGTGTGCGTGTGAATTACAGAAGCAGCCTATTGGTTTGGTTCTTGATAAATCTGACTTTTGTTTGTTTCCAGTAACAATACTCTGTGGTGTTGAGGTCATAATCATACTGAGGCATACAGTTCTCTGTTACTTAGATTGTGCTTATAAGAGCTTTCTCTTTTGCAGTAAAACGTTTTTTATCTCCCAGCTCCCTGCCTTAAGAGTGCATACGCTATTAGCGGCGCCCTGTATCCTCGGTGCAAGGAGGTGTGTGCCAAGTGTGGGGCACTGTTAATAGGAGCCTAAGACCTACAGCTGCCAGCTTTGCTCTGTCATTGGACTGTCTCCAGAGAGACAGTCTCCAGAGAGTCTCCAGAGAGACTACTAGTGGTAGAGGAGTGGCGTTGTTTTGGCTGGGGCTGTTAATTTAGGAAAGACTGGATCGTTATGGCTCCAATCAAGCTTTTTTTTTGGACATGCATAAATCTGCAGAGAGAAAAGGACAATTCCATGACCAGACATTGTAATATGGTGTAGTTCAAGGTTCTTCTTTTCAGCTCTGTGTACAGAGGAAAGCAGAGCAGGATGTGAGAGCTGGGAGGCCTCTTCATTCTGTGTTTTCTGAAATCTGGATAGACTTCATTCACAGTGGTTCCTGGTTTATCCAGTGCCAACTCTTAGTTCTGGTTTGAGTTTGGTTTGGGTTTGTTTTAATGGGAATGTAAGAAAGGAGAAATGGACTTAACACACCCTTGGATTTCACTGCAAATAGGCTAAGGTCTCATAGACCTTGGAAGTAGGACTCTGTTAGAGCACATGGAGTTAGCTCTGAGTTTATCTCTGTGCACTTGCTTTTCGTTTTCTGCCCTCTCTGTTGATGTTTTGGTTCTCAGGAGTCAGAATTTAAGATTTTTGTAATGGGATTAGGAAATACTGAAGTTCTGCATTCAGCCAGGTACCTGTTTCCTGTCATATGCTACTGTGCAGTTAAGCATAGCAATTAATTTTGGCACTGAATTATCGTCTTTAGTTCCTGTTCATTAAAATCCAGGAGCACTTTTACTGCTTTGCAACACTTTTGTTCACAACCTTGACAGGTAGAAAGATTTCAGGAAGTTCGTAAACTTCCTGCTAGTGGTAACATTTTGTAGTTTTTCAGCAGCATGGAAAGGTCACTTGAGGGTGCTGTTTTTACTCTTGTGGGTAATGAATGAAGTGAAGCACTGTGTGCAATTGATGATGATGATGATGGCTTGGCTTCATGAACAAAGATTTGGGAAGGGCTTTACCCATGCTTACTACAAGCGTGATGAGGACTAAAAGGGCAATGTGGGATAGGCAAATCCGGTTGGAAAAAAAGCTGCTTGATCATACAGGATGTTTCCAAACAAGACTGTCATCTCCTGGGTCAATCTCGAGCAACCAGTGTCCTGAACTGCCTGCATGCAGGGCTGGGTCTGCAGTTTCCAGTGCACCTTATCACCTGCTGTTTTGTCCCTCGCCTGAGTAAACCCTTCAGGCCTGCGCAGTGGATTTTTTAGGTGAGGAACAGCCTGTGCAGAACTTGCCCCACCCTTTACACCTGAGGTTTATCTGCCAGGGCCTAGCTAGCTAGGACGGTGACAGCAAAGTCCTCAGGTCGTAGGTTTGGTTAGAGTGTCCTTTTCTTAGATGGAAGGCCTTACAAGGCTAGACAAGCTCCATTTGCCCGGGTTTGATTAGAGTGTCCTTCTCTTAGATGGAAGGCCTTACAAGGCTAGACAAGCTCCATCTGCCCGGGTTTGAAGTTAGAGTTTTCCCTCTCCTAGTATGACTGAAATTACTGTAAACCTAACAGCCCATGCCCTGTATTTGGGAGATACAAAACAAGCTGCTAAAGACTGGAAATCAAGCTACATTTTACAAACTGGTGAACTTCTGCGCATTTTCCTGCTGAGTGCCTGCCCTTGAGTCTCCTGGAGTCTTTGTGGAGCTGCCAGAATTTGGAGTGTGTGAGGATGGGAGGAGATGAATTTCACCCTGCAAGGGAGGGCTGAGGTACACTTAAAGATGAAAACTGAAAGCACTTTTTTGCTGCTCTTAGTCCTATAGATGAAGCTCCAGCTTCAGAACTATTGGTGTACAGCTTGACCTGTTTTTGTAAGAAGATGCAGTTTCCTTACATGATCTCTCAGCTTCTTTCCAGTAACAATCTGCTGTCCCTAAGGTGGCCAGTTTCAAGAACTCTCAATAATGAAGAGACTATTCCTCAAAGATTTTGGAGACTGTTTTGTTCCTGCCCTCCTTCCCTATTCAAAGTATACTTAGATGGCACTTAGAAGCATGGTTTAGTGGTGGACTTAGCAGTGTTAAGTTACAGTTGGACTTGATGCTTTTAAAGGTCTTTTCCAACTAAAATGATTCTATGAATACCTTTTAACTACTCTTTCAAAAATATTGCAATTGTCTTGAAATGCATAGGTGCAAACAATTAACACTCGT